GCGCCGCCACGTGCACGCATACAGGATTTGTTTTATGAAGAACAGCTTACCCAGGGTAAGCAAGGCGTTGTGCACGTCCTGCAGCTCGGAGAAGGCGAGCTGCGCCACGAGCGCCGCCACGTGCACGCATACAGGATTTGTTTTATGAAGAACAGCTTACCCAGGGTAAGCAAGGCGTTGTGCACGTCCTGCAGCTCGGAGAAGGCGAGCTGCGCCACGAGCGCCGCCACGTGCACGCATACAGGATTTGTTTTATGAAGAACAGCTTACCCAGGGTAAGCAAGGCGTTGTGCACGTCCTGCAGCTCGGAGAAGGCGAGCTGCGCCACGAGCGCCGCCACGTGCACGCATACAGGATTTGTTTTATGAAGAACAGCTTACCCAGGGTAAGCAAGGCGTTGTGCACGTCCTGCAGCTCGGAGAAGGCGAGCTGCGCCACGAGCGCCGCCACGTGCACGCATACAGGATTTGTTTTATGAAGAACAGCTTACCCAGGGTAAGCAAGGCGTTGTGCACGTCCTGCAGCTCGGAGAAGGCGAGCTGCGCCACGAGCGCCGCCACGTGCACGCATACAGGATTTGTTTTATGAAGAACAGCTTACCCAGGGTAAGCAAGGCGTTGTGCACGTCCTGCAGCTCGGAGAAGGCGAGCTGCGCCACGAGCGCCGCCACGTGCACGCATACAGGATTTGTTTTATGAAGAACAGCTTACCCAGGGTAAGCAAGGCGTTGTGCACGTCCTGCAGCTCGGAGAAGGCGAGCTGCGCCACGAGCGCCGCCACGTGCACGCATACAGGATTTGTTTTATGAAGAACAGCTTACCCAGGGTAAGCAAGGCGTTGTGCACGTCCTGCAGCTCGGAGAAGGCGAGCTGCGCCACGAGCGCCGCCACGTGCACGCATACAGGATTTGTTTTATGAAGAACAGCTTACCCAGGGTAAGCAAGGCGTTGTGCACGTCCTGCAGCTCGGAGAAGGCGAGCTGCGCCACGAGCGCCGCCACGTGCACGCATACAGGATTTGTTTTATGAAGAACAGCTTACCCAGGGTAAGCAAGGCGTTGTGCACGTCCTGCAGCTCGGAGAAGGCGAGCTGCGCCACGAGCGCCGCCACGTGCACGCATACAGGATTTGTTTTATGAAGAACAGCTTACCCAGGGTAAGCAAGGCGTTGTGCACGTCCTGCAGCTCGGAGAAGGCGAGCTGCGCCACGAGCGCCGCCACGTGCACGCATACAGGATTTGTTTTATGAAGAACAGCTTACCCAGGGTAAGCAAGGCGTTGTGCACGTCCTGCAGCTCGGAGAAGGCGAGCTGCGCCACGAGCGCCGCCACGTGCACGCATACAGGATTTGTTTTATGAAGAACAGCTTACCCAGGGTAAGCAAGGCGTTGTGCACGTCCTGCAGCTCGGAGAAGGCGAGCTGCGCCACGAGCGCCGCCACGTGCACGCATACAGGATTTGTTTTATGAAGAACAGCTTACCCAGGGTAAGCAAGGCGTTGTGCACGTCCTGCAGCTCGGAGAAGGCGAGCTGCGCCACGAGCGCCGCCACGTGCACGCATACAGGATTTGTTTTATGAAGAACAGCTTACCCAGGGTAAGCAAGGCGTTGTGCACGTCCTGCAGCTCGGAGAAGGCGAGCTGCGCCACGAGCGCCGCCACGTGCACGCATACAGGATTTGTTTTATGAAGAACAGCTTACCCAGGGTAAGCAAGGCGTTGTGCACGTCCTGCAGCTCGGAGAAGGCGAGCTGCGCCACGAGCGCCGCCACGTGCACGCATACAGGATTTGTTTTATGAAGAACAGCTTACCCAGGGTAAGCAAGGCGTTGTGCACGTCCTGCAGCTCGGAGAAGGCGAGCTGCGCCACGAGCGCCGCCACGTGCACGCATACAGGATTTGTTTTATGAAGAACAGCTTACCCAGGGTAAGCAAGGCGTTGTGCACGTCCTGCAGCTCGGAGAAGGCGAGCTGCGCCACGAGCGCCGCCACGTGCACGCATACAGGATTTGTTTTATGAAGAACAGCTTACCCAGGGTAAGCAAGGCGTTGTGCACGTCCTGCAGCTCGGAGAAGGCGAGCTGCGCCACGAGCGCCGCCACGTGCACGCATACAGGATTTGTTTTATGAAGAACAGCTTACCCAGGGTAAGCAAGGCGTTGTGCACGTCCTGCAGCTCGGAGAAGGCGAGCTGCGCCACGAGCGCCGCCACGTGCACGCATACAGGATTTGTTTTATGAAGAACAGCTTACCCAGGGTAAGCAAGGCGTTGTGCACGTCCTGCAGCTCGGAGAAGGCGAGCTGCGCCACGAGCGCCGCCACGTGCACGCATACAGGATTTGTTTTATGAAGAACAGCTTACCCAGGGTAAGCAAGGCGTTGTGCACGTCCTGCAGCTCGGAGAAGGCGAGCTGCGCCACGAGCGCCGCCACGTGCACGCATACAGGATTTGTTTTATGAAGAACAGCTTACCCAGGGTAAGCAAGGCGTTGTGCACGTCCTGCAGCTCGGAGAAGGCGAGCTGCGCCACGAGCGCCGCCACGTGCACGCATACAGGATTTGTTTTATGAAGAACAGCTTACCCAGGGTAAGCAAGGCGTTGTGCACGTCCTGCAGCTCGGAGAAGGCGAGCTGCGCCACGAGCGCCGCCACGTGCACGCATACAGGATTTGTTTTATGAAGAACAGCTTACCCAGGGTAAGCAAGGCGTTGTGCACGTCCTGCAGCTCGGAGAAGGCGAGCTGCGCCACGAGCGCCGCCACGTGCACGCATACAGGATTTGTTTTATGAAGAACAGCTTACCCAGGGTAAGCAAGGCGTTGTGCACGTCCTGCAGCTCGGAGAAGGCGAGCTGCGCCACGAGCGCCGCCACGTGCACGCATACAGGATTTGTTTTATGAAGAACAGCTTACCCAGGGTAAGCAAGGCGTTGTGCACGTCCTGCAGCTCGGAGAAGGCGAGCTGCGCCACGAGCGCCGCCACGTGCACGCATACAGGATTTGTTTTATGAAGAACAGCTTACCCAGGGTAAGCAAGGCGTTGTGCACGTCCTGCAGCTCGGAGAAGGCGAGCTGCGCCACGAGCGCCGCCACGTGCACGCATACAGGATTTGTTTTATGAAGAACAGCTTACCCAGGGTAAGCAAGGCGTTGTGCACGTCCTGCAGCTCGGAGAAGGCGAGCTGCGCCACGAGCGCCGCCACGTGCACGCATACAGGATTTGTTTTATGAAGAACAGCTTACCCAGGGTAAGCAAGGCGTTGTGCACGTCCTGCAGCTCGGAGAAGGCGAGCTGCGCCACGAGCGCCGCCACGTGCACGCATACAGGATTTGTTTTATGAAGAACAGCTTACCCAGGGTAAGCAAGGCGTTGTGCACGTCCTGCAGCTCGGAGAAGGCGAGCTGCGCCACGAGCGCCGCCACGTGCACGCATACAGGATTTGTTTTATGAAGAACAGCTTACCCAGGGTAAGCAAGGCGTTGTGCACGTCCTGCAGCTCGGAGAAGGCGAGCTGCGCCACGAGCGCCGCCACGTGCACGCATACAGGATTTGTTTTATGAAGAACAGCTTACCCAGGGTAAGCAAGGCGTTGTGCACGTCCTGCAGCTCGGAGAAGGCGAGCTGCGCCACGAGCGCCGCCACGTGCACGCATACAGGATTTGTTTTATGAAGAACAGCTTACCCAGGGTAAGCAAGGCGTTGTGCACGTCCTGCAGCTCGGAGAAGGCGAGCTGCGCCACGAGCGCCGCCACGTGCACGCATACAGGATTTGTTTTATGAAGAACAGCTTACCCAGGGTAAGCAAGGCGTTGTGCACGTCCTGCAGCTCGGAGAAGGCGAGCTGCGCCACGAGCGCCGCCACGTGCACGCATACAGGATTTGTTTTATGAAGAACAGCTTACCCAGGGTAAGCAAGGCGTTGTGCACGTCCTGCAGCTCGGAGAAGGCGAGCTGCGCCACGAGCGCCGCCACGTGCACGCATACAGGATTTGTTTTATGAAGAACAGCTTACCCAGGGTAAGCAAGGCGTTGTGCACGTCCTGCAGCTCGGAGAAGGCGAGCTGCGCCACGAGCGCCGCCACGTGCACGCATACAGGATTTGTTTTATGAAGAACAGCTTACCCAGGGTAAGCAAGGCGTTGTGCACGTCCTGCAGCTCGGAGAAGGCGAGCTGCGCCACGAGCGCCGCCACGTGCACGCATACAGGATTTGTTTTATGAAGAACAGCTTACCCAGGGTAAGCAAGGCGTTGTGCACGTCCTGCAGCTCGGAGAAGGCGAGCTGCGCCACGAGCGCCGCCACGTGCACGCATACAGGATTTGTTTTATGAAGAACAGCTTACCCAGGGTAAGCAAGGCGTTGTGCACGTCCTGCAGCTCGGAGAAGGCGAGCTGCGCCACGAGCGCCGCCACGTGCACGCATACAGGATTTGTTTTATGAAGAACAGCTTACCCAGGGTAAGCAAGGCGTTGTGCACGTCCTGCAGCTCGGAGAAGGCGAGCTGCGCCACGAGCGCCGCCACGTGCACGCATACAGGATTTGTTTTATGAAGAACAGCTTACCCAGGGTAAGCAAGGCGTTGTGCACGTCCTGCAGCTCGGAGAAGGCGAGCTGCGCCACGAGCGCCGCCACGTGCACGCATACAGGATTTGTTTTATGAAGAACAGCTTACCCAGGGTAAGCAAGGCGTTGTGCACGTCCTGCAGCTCGGAGAAGGCGAGCTGCGCCACGAGCGCCGCCACGTGCACGCATACAGGATTTGTTTTATGAAGAACAGCTTACCCAGGGTAAGCAAGGCGTTGTGCACGTCCTGCAGCTCGGAGAAGGCGAGCTGCGCCACGAGCGCCGCCACGTGCACGCATACAGGATTTGTTTTATGAAGAACAGCTTACCCAGGGTAAGCAAGGCGTTGTGCACGTCCTGCAGCTCGGAGAAGGCGAGCTGCGCCACGAGCGCCGCCACGTGCACGCATACAGGATTTGTTTTATGAAGAACAGCTTACCCAGGGTAAGCAAGGCGTTGTGCACGTCCTGCAGCTCGGAGAAGGCGAGCTGCGCCACGAGCGCCGCCACGTGCACGCGCGCGGCGCCCACGCGCCCCGCCCGCCGCTCCTCTGCTCCGTCTCCTGCGTCTCTGTGCTCCACGCTGTTCTCCTGTACTGCATCAGCTTTGTGTTCGCTTTCACTGCCTTCCTTCGATTCCAGCTCCAAACCTTCACTTTTCCCTTTGCCCTCTGTGTCTTTTGACTCTTCTTCGTTGCTTGTCATATTGACGTCCTAAACGACAGTTCATTTATTATTATGTAATAATAGGCTTATAGCTAATACCGTGTAGTGACGGTGTAAGAATTTCCACTACCCCATATCATCCCGTGGTTATCGTAAGAGGCGACAAAGGGAAACCAATATAATAACGACAAAAAATAAACAACTGCGGTTGTCAACCCGATTCCTTAGCATGGCAACTATAGAAAATATTCCCCTCCCCCATGAGACAATCTATAGAGAGACTCATGTCCATCAGTGGACTTTGATGGTCTGTAACGGTTATGGCTAATATGCCTATATCTAGTCCAAATCCACACCAAGAATACACTAAATTGGATTGTCTTTGCACCATTTGTCCGGTCTGTTTTTAAAACTAATCACAAAATGAGTATCATCCACGTCTTGAGACAACTTGTTACATATGTTTATAGTCCTGTTGCTTAGTATTTATCATATCTAACCTGATTTAAATACTAGCGACCCGTCCTGGCAACATGTGGGACACATCTATTAACATGGCATTATTAATTTAAGATAATCAAGACAGTTTATTTTATCAACGTTCGAGAAAAAAACTGCAAGTTTTCAAATAAAATATCCTAGATCACTCCCGATGTTGCTATTTATCATGATATTTCATTGTAATCAGACAAATAAAACAGACAAACATTTTAAAAATGATTCTTCATGTCTTAATAACATACGAATAGCCCTAAGCAAAATATAAGGCTGTTATTTCGATATTACGAACAAACTTTATTTATAAGTATAAATTTTATCTTTCATTGGTTCAGTACAGTCTACCAAAAATCCACAAAATAGGCTTTTGGTCACAGATAAACTTATAAGAGGTATATTTACCATAGTTACCACGCTTGGCATAAGGGTTGGTACTCGTATTTTTTTATTATTTTAAATTGTTGCGCTTGTAACTAAGTATTGTGACTGCTATTTAAAAACGTAGTGTAATAGTAATTTAAAACTGTACCTAACATAATAAAGAGCTAATAACCGTATTTCCTTAAATACAAACACGCGTTTGATTGTATTCAACAAATTGTATACATCTTACAATTAGGGATTGTTCCCGCGCCAACTAACTTGGATGTGTAAGCAGAACTCACTGACCTCTATTATGCAAGTACGCTGGACTAGCTATACAGTATACACCGTAACATGATGAACGATTTAATCTTCGCCATTTTGGCGCTGACAGCAGAAGTGAGCGTCCACGGAACTAATAATAGAGATAAGACAATGTTTTTTTTTTAATATAGAATAAGGATGACAAACGAGCACAGAGTCCACACGATGGTAAGTGGATCCTCAATTAAGAATCAAAATGCAGATGCGTTGTCACGTTGTCAGAACTGAGATGAAATACCTCATTTCCAATAAAAAGGGTCTCCGGTTCTCTACACTCATCATACGAAACACAGCAGCATTAAGCTACAGTGTGACAAAATATATCGATAAAAATTCTATATCCAGGCCTACCATTCTATTTATAAACCATTTTTATATAATGGTATACAATAAATAAATGTATAAATTAATGCTTACATATATGTTAGACACGATCTTTATATCTCATATAAAACAAAAATCGACGCTGCATTAGTCTATCTACATTTTTCTTTGTAACTATAGAACAGGTTTTGCTCCGAGTTTCACCATATGGTTCAATCGATAGATTTAAAAAGGTCGAATGAATAGGAAAAACTGGAGTAGATAACTACAAAATAAAATAAAAAATTGTAAAGAATTTATTCATTTAGTTTTCGTAATATAGTGAATCAATAAGCTGGCAAAATAGTAGTCTATTTCAACAATATCTATAGATACAATTTGAATTTTACAAACTTTAAATTACTTTAAAGAATACCACCACAAATCATTGACGTCATAATCATTTTGCTTCGGGCGTCAATTCACAAGTTTTATACTTTTTAGTGACAGTTTTAGTATAGTCAGTTGAAAACCTGTAAATTAATAAATATTTGACAATTATCTGTTGTCGGCGACTTTCATTAATGTAAACAGATATATGTAGTAAAAAAACATCGATACGTACGAGTATTATCGACAAAGAAGGTGACTTTCATTACATCAATTACACAGACACACGTACCACCCACCACTCATTGCTTCATTGATACTAAAAATATTATATTACTAACATGAAACATAACCGAACTACACAACACACACTCTTTTTCTCGTTTAAAACTTTAAAATACTCTTAAGACGTTTTGAGCAAAATAAAAAAAAAAACATCGGTCAAATACGACCTGACGAAAATATGAAACGACCACCAATGATATTATGATACGTCAAAAAAAAGTGAATTATTTTATTGGAGCCGGTAAAATAATTTAGCTTTGTAATGAAAAACCTCATTTCCTTCCTACTATTTTTAGGTTTTGAAGGCATCTAAACCCATACCGTTTTTATCTGTGGTACAAGTTTCATCATGACACTAAAGTAATACTACCATTATGCGTTTACTTTTTTTAATACTAGATTTTATAGTAGATTTTTTATTATTTTTTGTAGTGTATTATCAATAATATTGTTTTTAGATGGGGTTATGGAAAGTATTCCGAAATAAGTTGCAAATGATAGGTTGACAGTAAATATAGAATGCACTAATACTTAGAACGGAACGTATTATGAGTGTCTGTGGTATAATGACACGAGAGCTGTCAAAGTGTGAGCAAAAGTCAAAGCACCTGTGTCTTAGATACTTAGCAGTGAAAAGATTAGAAAGGTTATTGATTCATTTTTGTGGTTTTAGCCATTGACTTATTTAGTTAAGTATATATTACTGGATCGTTTTCATATCAATTGTTTTAGCTGCGGTTGTAGTCATCGCTACATCATAACCTCAAAAGTGATGAAATACATAAGTGTAATGTTCTATGATCCTCGGCTTTTAAATAATATATTTTCAAAAAAAATGTATCACAATCTTTATTGATCTGCAAAAAGGTTTTGACAATATTTCATATTCTAAACTGATCGAGGAACTTGAAAAACTGGGTATTACAAATGTACAATTAGAACTTTTTAAAGATTACCTACAAAATCGCTCACAACGAGTTAGGATAGGAGAGATTTTTAGTGATGAAAGACCAATCAACTACGGAGTACCACAAGGGAGTATTCTCGGTCCAACTCTCTTCCTTTGCTACATAAACGATCTTTGTCAATTAAACATCCCAAATTGTAAAATAATCTCATATGCTGACGACACAACCCTCTCGTTATATGGTGACTCTTGGGAAGAAGTTTTCAAAATTGCACAGTCTACCACTGGCTTGCTAAATAGTCTCACTTTAAATTCCGACAAAACTGTACAAAATGTAATGTTTTCCATCCGAAATTTATCCTGTATTAAAAATAAATTTAAAATCATAGCACATTCATGTGATATGACCTCTATTACAAACTGTAAATGTCCTTATATTGAAAATACAAATAACATAAAGTACCTCGGCATAATAATAGACAAGAATCTAAGCTTCAAAGAACATATAAACTATTTAGTTCAAAAAATTAGAAAGCTTATCTACATATTTAAAAACTTAAGACATCGCAAATTGGAATTTGATTAAAACTGTATATGAATCGTTAGGTAAATCTATTATGTCCTATGGCATTTCTGTATGGGGAGGCTCTAGTAAAACATTAATGATGGAAGTTGAAAAGGTACAAAGGATGATATTAAAAATTGCCTTGAAAAAACCTAGGATATATCCGACTACGAATTTTTATGCAGAAGCCAATGTGTTAACTGTTCGAAAAATTTACATATTATCAATAATCTTAAAAAAAAACGTAGTTGTATTGATTTGTTGGATAATATAAGGAACTCTGGTACGAGGAGAGAATATGAAGTTTGTGAAATTATTCCGGTAAAAACATTTATTGCTCAAAAGTTTTTCAGTTTTAGAGGTAGTCGATTATATAACAAAGCAAACAAATTACACCATATCATTAACCTAACAAAATTTGAATGTAAAAAGAATATTTCAGATTGGCTGCTTAAACTTGATTATGAAAAAACAGAACAATTACTGCAAATCGCATCTTAACATACCACGTACGAGTTAACACACACACACACATACATACGCACACACACACGCACGTACACACACACACACACACACACACACACACACACACACACACACACACACACACACACAATAAGATTAAACCGCTTACGCGTATGCTCTCTCGCAACCGGAAAAAAATGTCTCTGCTATATATATATAATAAAAAGAAAAAAAATCTAGTATACGAGTATGTTTTTAAAAGATAAAATATGCAATGTACAATTTGTGGGAGAAAATAATAAAGGTTTATTTTATTTAATATAGAATTTAGTCATGTTCGCGATATTTTATAGCCAGGTCACAGCATGTATGGGCCGTGACCGATGTTCTTTGTGCCCATTTTTGCCATGTTGTCTATTTGCAAATTATGTCAAAATTAGACCCGGTACACTCAATGGCGGCGCTTCAATCGGCAATCGGCACAAACATTTTGTAGGGTATAGCCAGTCCAGCGTACTAGTATATATGGAGGTCAGTGGCAGAACTCTTTACCGCTCTCCGCACCACCCGCTCCTAAAGATCATACGAACTTTTTAGCTACAAGATTGCCGATGCATATATACGTATGCAATATATAATGACACCCTGGAGTCATAGAGTAGTAAAGTTACAGAGAAGTCACCAATGCTTTAGTACCTTTATTTTAGTAAAATTTGTAATTATATTCACATTACACCTGTATCTATATTGTATTTATTGTATTTTGATTATTTTTTTGTGAAACAATATTTTTTAAATAATTTTGTTAGTGAAACTTTTGTCACAATGAGCAATTTTGTTTGAAGCCCGTCCATAAAAAATTAATAATGTTGTACCAATGGTGGTAGTTGTAAGTTTCATAGAGTCATCAGTCCAGGCACACATGGCGGTAGTGGTGTGGATGTCTCGGGTGCCGCGTTTTTGTGGCAAAGAATTTAATGAGGGTAGAGCAACTTACTGTAGAGGGAGCCGTTGGCGGCGGTGGTGCCGCGGGTGCCTCCGGTACTACGGGTGTCACCTGTGCCACGGGTGTCTCCGTTGCCACGGGTATCTCCGTTGCCACGGATGTGACCGGTGCCACGTTAGTTGCCGGTGCCGCGGATGCCGGTGGTGCCTCGGGTGCCACCAGTGCCTCCGGTGGCGGTGGCGTGGGCGGGCGCAGCAGCGCCTGGTGCAGCAGTGGCAGGTGTGGTGCCACGGCGCGTTGCACGCTCGCGCTCTCCTCTGAACTTTCGCCTCCACCGTCATTTCCACTAAATTCACATATAAATATAACTTAGATATTCTACTTCTAGAAAGAGAAAGAGAAAAATTCTCCAAAATAATGTGTTCAAACCAAATTTCGGACACGGAGATAAGCTATCTGCATATCGCAGAATATGATTTTTCCGTATATGATGTCTTTTTTTTTTCATTAAAATTTCGGTATAATTTTTATAACTAGAAATAGTGCAATTTGAAAGAAAAACATTTCGTCTTACGTATTAATATTTCGAATAAATATTTTTTTCTTACTGGCAAGCACTCTTTAACTTTGAAGCGAGCAACCTTCTTTTCAACTACATCCGCAACGACCACAAGTAACGGCCAACTTCCTAGTCAACGCAAGCACTAACGCTTTTGACGGTAAACATTACGTGCGCGTTCCGTTATCAGCAGTAGATAAGATCTCATTTCCCTGCTCCAATAAATACTAAGGTAGTTTTCCATACCTGACCTATGGAGAAAAGAAAAATACTGGACACATTTGGGCAGAAGCTACATCACACCGGGCCAGGTAAACGTCGGGCAGCTCAGAAATTGCCCAGTTGAGTGTTTACCAGGTCTTATGAGTACATTACGTAATTATTTTTTGGTCCTTTTGAGCCGGATCTTTCCTTTCAAATCGTGCTGTCTTAGTAAGATCTTTAGTTTCACACAGTTTAAATTTTTAAATTTAACGTACATACGTACTTTCATCGACGTGTCGTATAGGCCATCTTTGCAACGCAAAATGCCTAGCATTAGTTCAACAATTTATGTGTGATGTTTTATGCGAGCAGGATATGTTCGAACGCGATATTATTCTAGATGATTTAAAAAGAACATTACAGTTCGCAACGACCGATGAACAAAAATTAAGAGTTCCGTTCGCGAACCAAAAATCTTACTGCACAACAAAGAAAGTTTAGTAAATTGCAAACTAAAATTGAAAAATGTCTAATAAAGACAAAAATGTTCAACAAAGATGAACAAATTATAATTCGTAATGATTTTGATGTCGCATACTATGCTATTGTAACGCATTTGAGGAAATTAAAACAGTATGACAAACAAGTCAGGCGTATGAGTAGGTCCTTTAACTCCGAATCGTTTGCACAATCCAAAATTCCCTAAAATTCCCTTGCCCAGCTTCTCGGGTAGTAGTACTGACTGGAATTAATTTTATGATTTGTATATTTCACTCGTACATAACAATAATGCCTACACGGATGCGGAGAAATTCAGATATTTACTCCTTACTTTAAAAAATGAACCTTATAATTTAATTAAATCAATTCCCATTATCGACGCAAATTATTCTGTAGCCTTACAGGTATTAATTTCGCGTTATGAGAACAAAAGAATTATAGCTTCCACTCATCTCGACAAAATTCTCGATGTTAAACCTTGTACAGAAAAATCAACAATCTGCTTACGTAACTTACTGAACATTTACCAAGAAAACATTAAAGCACTTGAAGTTATGAAATTTTCTACAAACGAATGGAGTTTTATGTTATTAACGATTTTACTGCGAAAAATTCCCTCATCTATCCGCAAACATTTTGAGTTATCATTAAAATCACCATCAGAAATTCCTGATATCAACACACTAATATCCTTTTTGGAGCGAGAATTGTCCGCAAGCGAAATTTCTCACCCTAATTTCGGTCAGATTACTAAACACGAAGGTCAATCAAAATCAAACGCACCATCAGGCAGCGGCGGTAGCCACACGACGGCATCTCCGGGCGCACGCCGTATATTTATAGGAAACAAAACATCCTGTCTCAGAGTCTGCATATAATACTCCAAACAAATTTCCGAGTGTTAAACATTTCCATTGCATATGCTGTGACGCCCAACATACACTAAATGTCCAACGTTTTTAAACTTACCACCCAAGGAGCGCTGTACCTTTATTAGTGATAAAAACGTTTGCTATAATTGTTTACACGTTGGACACGACGTTAAGCAATGCAGATCAAATTTTATGTGCCGGACGTGCAACAAACACTAATTCATTTCGATAATCAATCTTATGTAGGTGCTACTCGTCACTCCCTCCTACAGCGTACGATCCCGCCACTTCGAGCGATTCTCAGCTGGTTATGACGTCGATAAATCACAAGACTCGCGACGCTAGCGCGCAATCTAGTTCTGCTCAGTCAGTACGAACGAGTACAGTGCTACTGTCAACAGCGCTCATCGATGTTTACGTAAATAATCATAAGCGATCGACCGTGCGTTGTCTTATAGATTCGGGAATTCGTTTCATTCCCAGTTCAAGTGTTTCACAGCTCGGTTAACGATGAATTTCAGAAGCTCTTGCTCTACAACAGGAATTAATAAGCAAATAAAATAAATAATGACATATGTCAGGTTGTCGGCTTCACTCTTCACAAATGGCACAGTAACTCGCTTGCGTTACTCGCTGCGGTTCAGCCCACAACAACAAAATAACGTACCTTTTTCGGAGATGGAAAATGACATGAAAACAATAGTACTTGGTCTTCAGTTGAACCCAAATTCAGATTAATTTACTTTCAGCGTTCAAATTACCTCTAATAAATGTACGAGTACTAAGCGTTCGATTCTTTCAGAAACTGCTAGAATTTATGACCCACTTGGTCTTACACATGGCTTTTTATCGCCAGTCACCATTTTTGCTAATCATTTAATCCAGTTGTTGTGGATAGCGCGTGTAGATTGGGATGAACACCCACCCCAAGATATAATAAATTCATGGGCCAGTTTTACTAACGAGCTTCCACTCTTATCGAAAGTTATTTTTGAACTTGCGTCGTTGGTTTGAGGCAAGAGTGTATGAATGTGTGTGGTACTGACGGCGAGGGCGAGGGCGAGGAGTCGTGCGGCAGCAGCGCGAGCAGCAGCTGGCAGCCGTTGACCACGGCGTGCCTGCGGGCCGCCGGCGGCGACGTGAACATGCGTCGTTGGTTTGAGGCAAGAGTGTATGAATGTGTGTGGTACTGACGGCGAGGGCGAGGGCGAGGAGTCGTGCGGCAGCAGCGCGAGCAGCAGCTGGCAGCCGTTGACCACGGCGTGCCTGCGGGCCGCCGGCGGCGACGTGAACATGCGTCGTTGGTTTGAGGCAAGAGTGTATGAATGTGTGTGGTACTGACGGCGAGGGCGAGGGCGAGGAGTCGTGCGGCAGCAGCGCGAGCAGCAGCTGGCAGCCGTTGACCACGGCGTGCCTGCGGGCCGCCGGCGGCGACGTGAACATGCGTCGTTGGTTTGAGGCAAGAGTGTATGAATGTGTGTGGTACTGACGGCGAGGGCGAGGGCGAGGAGTCGTGCGGCAGCAGCGCGAGCAGCAGCTGGCAGCCGTTGACCACGGCGTGCCTGCGGGCCGCCGGCGGCGACGTGAACATGCGTCGTTGGTTTGAGGCAAGAGTGTATGAATGTGTGTGGTACTGACGGCGAGGGCGAGGGCGAGGAGTCGTGCGGCAGCAGCGCGAGCAGCAGCTGGCAGCCGTTGACCACGGCGTGCCTGCGGGCCGCCGGCGGCGACGTGAACATGCGTCGTTGGTTTGAGGCAAGAGTGTATGAATGTGTGTGGTACTGACGGCGAGGGCGAGGGCGAGGAGTCGTGCGGCAGCAGCGCGAGCAGCAGCTGGCAGCCGTTGACCACGGCGTGCCTGCGGGCCGCCGGCGGCGACGTGAACATGCGTCGTTGGTTTGAGGCAAGAGTGTATGAATGTGTGTGGTACTGACGGCGAGGGCGAGGGCGAGGAGTCGTGCGGCAGCAGCGCGAGCAGCAGCTGGCAGCCGTTGACCACGGCGTGCCTGCGGGCCGCCGGCGGCGACGTGAACATGCGTCGTTGGTTTGAGGCAAGAGTGTATGAATGTGTGTGGTACTGACGGCGAGGGCGAGGGCGAGGAGTCGTGCGGCAGCAGCGCGAGCAGCAGCTGGCAGCCGTTGACCACGGCGTGCCTGCGGGCCGCCGGCGGCGACGTGAACATGCGTCGTTGGTTTGAGGCAAGAGTGTATGAATGTGTGTGGTACTGACGGCGAGGGCGAGGGCGAGGAGTCGTGCGGCAGCAGCGCGAGCAGCAGCTGGCAGCCGTTGACCACGGCGTGCCTGCGGGCCGCCGGCGGCGACGTGAACATGCGTCGTTGGTTTGAGGCAAGAGTGTATGAATGTGTGTGGTACTGACGGCGAGGGCGAGGGCGAGGAGTCGTGCGGCAGCAGCGCGAGCAGCAGCTGGCAGCCGTTGACCACGGCGTGCCTGCGGGCCGCCGGCGGCGACGTGAACATGCGTCGTTGGTTTGAGGCAAGAGTGTATGAATGTGTGTGGTACTGACGGCGAGGGCGAGGGCGAGGAGTCGTGCGGCAGCAGCGCGAGCAGCAGCTGGCAGCCGTTGACCACGGCGTGCCTGCGGGCCGCCGGCGGCGACGTGAACATGCGTCGTTGGTTTGAGGCAAGAGTGTATGAATGTGTGTGGTACTGACGGCGAGGGCGAGGGCGAGGAGTCGTGCGGCAGCAGCGCGAGCAGCAGCTGGCAGCCGTTGACCACGGCGTGCCTGCGGGCCGCCGGCGGCGACGTGAACATGCGTCGTTGGTTTGAGGCAAGAGTGTATGAATGTGTGTGGTACTGACGGCGAGGGCGAGGGCGAGGAGTCGTGCGGCAGCAGCGCGAGCAGCAGCTGGCAGCCGTTGACCACGGCGTGCCTGCGGGCCGCCGGCGGCGACGTGAACATGCCCTGCAGCAGCAGCCGCACGGTCGCCGCGCCGCGCAGCCGCGCCACCAGCCGCCACGCCGTCGCCGCCCTGCGTATATTCCTACTAGAGCCATGCTGCAGCCATGTTAGTAGTATAGTTTTAGCACGAATGGCTCGGCTCGGCCGGGAAACCGGAGACCCTTTTTACTGGAAAAGATGCATTCTATCTTAGTCCTAAAGGCTGACAACGCATCTGCATTTTAATTCACAAACGAAGAAAAATGCAGATGTCTATGGACCACTGCAACCACTTACCATCAGGTGGACTGTGTGCTCGTTTGTCACCCTAATTCTATAAAAAAAGCAATATTGGAGATGTAGGATCAACATTATTGCATGGTGAAATTTGTTCTATTTATCAATATTTTATTTTATTACAAACTAGCTGATCCCCGCGACTTCACCCGCGTGGAGTTATTTTTCGCAGAACCCTAAAATAAAAGCAGCCCAAGTTACTCCTTATAACATCAGCTATCTGCCAGTATGTATAAATATTGACAAATATTGACATTAATATTTATACGATACTAACGTCGCTCAATTTTTTTGCCTTCCCGGAACCCCTCCACTAACACTTAAACTTTATGGGTATGGTGTTAAAGTTCAAATTGACTTTTAAGTATTATTTCGAATCTTTTGTATGGGAATATAGAAAAGTGTTGTTTTTAGACTTTTTCAGGCAATTTTTTAAATTTTTCTCTCCGCATGAACCATCTTCGTACTTAGAACTATTATATATTATATATACATTCAGCGATTCATTTTTATATTATAGATTAAATTATTTAAAACAACCACACACCTAAAAGCCGAAAACCAATAAATGTATTTGCACGAATATTAGCTGTAGCAGGGACGCAAACCGCAAACCCATGGTGGTGCAACCAATTACCCCGATCATTATGCCACTTATATAGCTCAAAATATTAGTAAAGTGAAATAACAGCCTGTAAATGTTGCACTGAGAGGCAGATTGAGAATGGACCAGAAAATGGAGCAGATAATTAATATGTAAGAACTAGGCTGCAACTATATTATGGTTGTAGTTGTAGCACTAATGGGTCGGCTCAACTGGGGTAGGGACCACGCACTCACAGAATACCAGCGTAAATGACAATACATCTGCATTTTGATTCTTAATCGAGGATAAATATTATTCTTAATAGAGGTCTATGGGCCACAGTATCCACATACCATCAGATGGACAGTGTGCTAGTTTGTCACTCTTATTTATTTAAAAAAAAACGATATGGTGCAGCTATACACGAAATACATTATTTACGAGTATTAGACATAGAGGTTGCCTTATTACGACATTTTTTCCTTTCAACACCTAATAGTTAAATATACCTATAACTAATCATTTCATAGTGATTTGTTAAATGAAATATCATACAAACCTAACCTGACCCACAAAACTACTATAACGCAGACAATATTTGTCATGTTTGTTTTAATATATCCTCAGGTTTTACAACCCGGTAGATCACGGATTCGATCCTGGCATTATATAAATATTTGTATGACCTACAAATAATTGTTACCAGTGTACGTTGTTTTCTATGCACAGTTAATGTTTGTAATGCACCTCCACGACACTGTAGAAATTCCTAAAGATAGCTTTTAATACCCACTTGACCAGTACAGAATACCCGGGGGGATCACACGCCCCCAGCAATAAGTCACACAGTAGAGCCGCTGCGTTCGCAGACGCACGGCCCGCTTCCGCGATACGCCTTTTTTCGCGGCTTAATTTTTCTTCTTCTGTAGAATTCGAGTCTAAAATGAAAAAGGGGTTTACTATTTTAATTAAAGCGTTAGTGTGACACACGATAAAGTCCTTGATAGTAAAAACAAACTGTAGCCAATGGACACCAGTTACCAATATACAAGGTCTTTTATTATCAAGTTTAAATTTTCACTAAACCAATACTCTTTAAAAAGTTGTTTGTTGTGTTTGAAACACATGACTTAATCGATTTTGATGACATTTTATGGGGTCACCTGGATGGCTTCTTATGGAGAAGAGCTGTGATAGCTCAGGATCTCAGCGTTCGCTGTAAATTTCTCAGTACGCGAGCAACCCTGGTTTGATCCCCGCCGGAACTAATAAAATCGTTAATTGCAATTTTACAAAGTTCCGTTTTACCACGTGCTCGGCGGTGAAGGAAAACATCGTGGAAACCTGCATGTCTGGGAAATAGGAAAAAACATAATTCTAATTTCGAAGACACGTGAACTTCGCCAACACGATTCGAGACAGCGTGGCGGACATTCCCTCGCCTTAAAACCATCTCAGAAATGATAGGACGCCGGTGCCCAGCAGTGGGACGTATATGGGCTGTATAAAAATATAAATATAATAATAAGAATAATAATAATATCCCTCAGTAAAGAAACCGGCGGACGATGTATTAGTTAGTATTGAGAAGCACCGCCTTTTGGATTTGAGCCCGGAGCGGTCCGTCACGAAGTCCCCGTCGCCTCAGATAACCTTAGAGGCGCAGAAACGACCACAGGAATAATTTCGGTCGGCAGATTACCCTACATGTCGGTCACCTCTTGAGCCAGGTTCAGATATTTTGTTCGCTTATCTGTTTCGGCTTTCAGGAGGTTCTCGTCATAAGGAATGGTAATGTCGTCCAAAAATATCCTTTACTATACCCGGTCCATCAAGCACAATATCAGGCTTATTCGCAAGAATAGTCGTGTCTGTGATGATGGCCCGATTCCAGTAGAGCCTGGCGCAGTTATTTTCGAGCATGGCTTCCGACAAGTATTTATAATATGGCAGTTTCCGATCCACGAGACCGTATTTCAGAGCGAGCTCTTGGTGTAGAATCCTGGCTACTAGGTTGTGTCTGTGCAAATACTCAGAGTTAGCAAGCGCCGAACAACCGGAAATGACATGCCTAAGTGAGTCACCGGGATGGCGACAAACTCGAAAGATGTCGACGGCACCATCCTTTAGGATGTATTTCCGATAATTGTTGGTCTTGATAACCTGATCCTGTATCGCACAGAATAAACCTTCGCTTTCTCAAAAGAGGTTACCGAAACGTAGCCAGTGGAGGGAGGCGACTGTATCCACGAAAGTTTCATGTCCCTTGTAGAACCTCCTGTGGAGCTACTCCTTCCATACACTTTCCCGGTCGGAAATGCACTGTACTGCTGAGACTTGCCATTGCTCGTTGGCTAAGGATAGAGGAGTAAGCCCTTTATCACACGAAATGATGTCCCCGTAGAATGGATCATCCGATCTCACCAGGAAGTATTTACGGAGGCAGCACTCTTCGCGATTATGCATGGTGAGAGCGCTTAAAGCCGCGCCCACAATGTTTCTGCAGCAAGTAAAGCCTCATTACTGACGATCTCGGGTGATGCATCCTGTGGGACGTCATAACAGTGCGGACTTTTCTATCCAGAACGTTCAGTTCGGTCTGAGTCCACCTGAGTATGCCGAAAATATACATGAAGACAGGCATGACCCAACCGTTACATACGTGTGTCTTATTCACGTCCGCAAAAGACTGTTGAGCACTTTTCTCAAGCGTGCATAAAACACATCGCAAACTGACCGTTTCAAATCCGCCTCATCGATACCTATGTTCTGTGACATACCCAGGTTATACCCTTATCCGTCCCCAGCTCCTTCCCAATAGAATTTCTAAAATAACAAGTACATCACTTGTGATTTTAGCAATTCTACAATATGTGAGCGACTGGAGGCGAATGACTTAAGATCATCCGTATAGAAAAGGTACCCACCTTTTCTATACGGATGATCTTAAGGTCACTTTTGTACCTCCTTTCCGAAGCTGAAATCCTCTCCCAGAACCCTCCAGTAAGACACTGAGAAGGTTTAGAGAGAGAGACAGAACCAGTTTGGACCAAATAATCGCCCTGGATGATACCCTTTCTTATCCTTATGTGGTTCACCGCAGTCGTCATCCGCTCGCCTAGATGACAAAGAATCGCACTCCACTGCCCCATACCACTGCCCGAGGAAGTCTCGAACCGTACAGTCAACCTTATACAGCTCGAGGACCCTCTTCAGCCATGTATAAGGCACCGAGTCGAATGCCGTTTTGTAGTCTATCCAGGCGGCGCGGCGGAGAGATTCCAACGGTCGCTTTTAACCACCTTGTGAATGACCCCGTCAATGAGGAGTGGTTCCTTGGTTCCACGACCACCGCCCCGAAATCACCTGATTTGAGTTCAGGTATATCGTGGGTAGACAAGTGATGGAGCGGTATTTGCTCGGGTCTGTGATATCTCGGTCTTTAGGAACGAAATGAGTGATCCCAGTAGTGAAGAGGTTCGGGAATGACTTCTGGTCGAGAGCCTCTTGAAACTGTCGGGCGAGCATAGCGTGACACACCACTAACTCCTTCAGCCAGTAGTGATGCAGCCCGTCGAGCCACGGACTTTTCCAGTTCGATTTATAGAGCATCTTCTGATCGCTCTGGAAGAAACGATTCTGGCGTGTCAACCTCTCAGTATATATTCGCCGAATCCGCTTTCCCCTAGCAGAGCGATTCTCTGCTTCAGATCGTCTATGCGCTCCTTCAATTTTTGCGTAATATCCGGCTGGGACAAACTTATATTAATTTGTCCCAGCAATCGCCATCCTGACGGTGCTCACAATTCTCGGTCTATTATTACTCGACCTGAAGCTTGTCAGTCTGCCGATGAGGGTTCTTGCTTTTGCAATACGGTCCTCAATTCTTTTTCTCCAGGCTGGGATGGCGCTACTTTGTCTAGTAGCGCGTATAGCCGTGGGAAGTTTGGCGCCAATAATACAACAAACTGCCAGTGCGGCGCCAAAAAGAATTGAGTTAGTCTCGCAAAGGTTCTGGCTGGCTTCCAAATAGGTCACCAGCATTGGGTTGAGACCCCTCACTACAGCCCGATTCCGCTTGCTTAGGGTTATGCGGGGAAGCCGCGGTCGATTTTTGAGAGGCATACTGCGCGTTTCCAAATAGCCTCCTCCAATATGCTCCTCATGTGCTCTAGTTTGAGGGAGACTATTTCATAATCGTCTGAATCAACCACAATTGGAATATTCACGGCGGCATCCACGTGTGCAGGTTGCTCTGTAATTAGTGGCGCCGCATTATCAGCTGTAGCATTTTCATCCGATGAGGGAACAGCCTCACGTCATGGTCGTTCGAGTTCGGCGTTACCAAATATTTTATGCAGGATGTACCGAACTCGGTCTGCCAGATTTTGCTCCTTTACATGAACAGATGTTTAAAGCTCTGCGAAAAAGCGATGCATCCGCCCGATACGCCATCATTCCAGTTTCTTCCCCAATTGCCCTATAATACGCTCGCAATGCGTTGGTGTTCATCATTTCCATCCAACGCATGCGACGTGTTCCACCAGCAGCGGGTGCCGCTTGCTGAGTACGGAAGACCCAGCCGATACCAAGCCCTCTGGTGGGGATGATGTATGCGGGTGGCTGCTAGGTCGCGTCCAGCGCCAGCTCCAGACGCGCCCTTGCGGCCTCCAAGCAGCGGCCCTTTTGCGCACTCTTTATTTTATCATTCACCCATTGAATAGGCGTCAATTAACAGGTGACGCCCAGGCCCAGCACCGTTTCATGGTTATTATTATTATCATTACCTATTATATTGCTGCAATTATACAAAAATTACCTGCCGCATTGTCCATCGACTCATTTTTGTCCTCCTGTTTATGGTTCAATTCAACTTTCTCACTAGTCTCTTGCTGGCCTTTCTCAGTTTGTTCAGGCGACCTTTCCGCTCCGTCTGTAATGTTTGCAGGCCGTATTTCTTCATACTCGTAAGTACCACAGATTATTTGTATGAGACTCTCTAGGAACTGGTGCTCTTCTAACCACTAAAATAAAATTTTGGTTTTAATAAAGATAAATCTTACTACCAATTAAATTAAAAAAAATAGATATATAGGGTTATTTTTCCAAGAGGAGCCAAATTTTAAACTTAAGTTCAAATATGTAAATAATGATATACCGTTATTGCAGTTTTTGAAAATACGAGTAACTTGTACTTTTATTGAAACTATCCCAAATTGAGTGTGATTTATGGGCAACAACGTTTTTGCCTACCGATCAGCACTTACAAATGTGTGCGTGCGCAGTAAAATCTGTTAAAATAATGCATTACCACGCATTTTGCATTTAAAAGATAAAAAGGACAGAATGTTTGAAATTTTTTTTAATTAATTTTTCTTCACCTTTTGCCTATAGTAGGTACTTATTCTGAACCTGCTCTACAAATTTGGCCGGTTATTGCAAAATAACCCTTTATATTGAATAACATATATTTATTTATTGCACAGCTTAATTTTATAAAAATCATACCTCGAAAACTATTTTGTTGAAAGGATCATCAAGCCTTATAAAGTATTTAAAGATATCGGCAATACTTGACGTGGAAATGTGTCGCAGAAGATTCGGAAGGAAATCACGTCTTGACTTGAAGAAATCCAAAACGCGGTGGACCACAATGTGGTAGAGGTACCAGTCCTGAATAAAGTAAAAATAAATATAATTGAAGGGTGTATTTAAACATTATTTGAAAAATATGTCGGCGCGTCGATAAAATACCGGTTGGATCGAGAGTGAGCAAGAGGTTGCGTCACTCTAGTAAAGCGTCATATCGATGGTGGCGTGGTAGAATTGAGGGTAGTTCGGGAAACCCCTAAACGTTGGTGCAGTATAAAATTCACTGTAGGCGTCGTACGCGAAAGAGTCCAAATAAGTCATTCTACGTAGTAGTGCTAAGATAGTATCGTGGTTCTGTCCGTTGTGGTAGTTGTTCTGGTGCAGGCGAGGAAGATTGTGTTGCTGTTGCTTTGCATATTTTGGTGTTATGCCCGGTTTACATTATTCCAGTCCAGCGATCGAATCCAGCGCCGGAATGCTTACTGGAAAAATGTAAACCGGCACTGGAATGCACTGAATCCACCGAGCATCGAGTCCAGTAACTGGATTGGCGGTCTACTTTTGAATCCAGTGCGACCAATCCAGTACAACTGGAATAATGTAGACGGCCAATCCAGTGCCATTCCAGTGCTGACACGACAATTGAATAGTAAACACGTGTTGATTGTTTTTGCGGACTGCGAAAAAGAAAGGATTTAACAATGGTGAATCGATACTGATCTCTTCTTGAAAACATTGTCACTGTAGTGTTCTCACTTCTACGGCTTCTAAATGACTGGAACAAGTACGATACAGATCCAGTTCAGCACTGGACTGGATTCTCGCTGGATCACTGGCAGTCCAGTAATGTAAACCGGGCATTATCATGGTAATTGCATCCTTCACGTTACACTGGTCGTGACGAGTTGTTGTGTGATTGAGGCGGGAACATGTTACAGTGTGGTCGAACTGTTATTGCTCTACACAGAATGTACACTGCCGGCCAAAAGTTTAAGACCACACTTAAACAACATAATTATTTATAAATTGTAACAAAATCCCATAAGATAAATAAAAGAAATGTACACCTGCATATTGTATTGTTAATATCGAATATCTAAAGAAGTCATTATTTTATTTACTTTCAGGTTAGTGGACAATAAACATGTATTGTTTTCAAACAGAGACAAACGCTGCGTTAGAGCCAGGTGGTAGAGTCGTAATAATATTTTTATGATGGGCTAATAACAAATTGCTTTGCTTTTGTTTCCCATTGGTCAATAATTAGGATTATTTAGCTTCTAAAAACACGTGTTTCCGACTTATTATTACCTGAGTTTACATGGTTTTGTTCACAAACAATCTCAATTAGTCTAAACTTGTGGTTTCTACAGTAAAGACTTCTTAAAATGGGAAAAGCACAAATTAGCAGAGAAGAGCGTTCTGCCATCGTTCTTTTACGTAATGAAGGCAAATCCGAACGTGAGATAGCTTTACAATTGAAGCTATCGAAGACTTGTGTTTATGGCACAATAATAATACATAGCAATATACAGGGAGACAGGCACTTTTTAAGATCGTACACGCTCGGGAAAACCGAGAGCTACCACGTCAAGTGAAGATCATTTCATTGTTGTTAACAGCAAGCGAAATAGTCGCTTAACAGCACCGGGAATCCACGTTGAAGTAAACAAAACCGGAGTTAAACTTTTATCATTGACTACAGTAAAACGGCGACTGAGAAATGCGAAATTGTATGGTCGTTTCGCCGTTTGAAAACCTCTGCTAAGGCCAGAAAACAAGAAAAAAAAGGATGCAATGGACCCTTGCCCATCGAGATTGGACTGAAGACGATTTTAAAAAAGTTCTTTGGACCGATGAATCCAAGTTTGAGCTATTCGATTAAAGACGAAGAATTTACGTTCGACGCAGTGACCAAGAAAAGATGATACCAGACTGTGTAGTCCCAACAATGAAGCATGGTGGTGGCTCAATCAATTATGGTCTGGAGGCTGCTTTTCTAGCTAAGAAACTGGCGATTTGATCAAAATTGACGGAATTATGAAAAAGGAAGTGTACAAAAAAATTTTAGAACAAAATGCCGTTCGTTCGGCGTTGCGATTAATTGGAGATGGATTCATTTTCCAACATGACAATGATCCTAAGCATAGCTCGAAATTATGCAGAGGATATTTGGAAGAGAGAGGCACAAGGGGTGTTAAAAACATGGTTTGGCCTCCTCAGAGCCCGGATCTCAAGAGCTTGATAGGAACGGCCGTAATTGTAGTCCAACCTCGCGAGAAGAAATGTGGAACACTTTGTGTGAAAGTTGGAGCAATATGTCACAAGACACCTATCAACAAATTGATTGCCCGTATGCCGAGACTTGTGAAAAAGTCATAGAATGCAAAGGAGGATTTTTTGATGAAAAATCAGTTTAGCTAACTATAGCCTTTTTTGCATGAACTGTTAATATTTCTGTTCGCGCCAAACGCTAATTTTAATAATTGACGCCAGAGGGCGCTCGGCGCGGTGCATTCGTACCGGTTTGACGTTCGCGCGAGCAGAGTTGGTTGCGGGCGGGCGCGTCGTAAGTTAACAATGCAGCGCAGTCAGTTGAACGGCGTGGTCGCGTACTGACAGCCTCTTAATTCGAGTTGTCCGTTTCTAAGTTTAAGCGATAACGAGGCCGGTTTGAGTTGATTGATATAGTACGGAGACATTGTTCCTTGTCGGTTTAAACGCTAAAAATTGGTGACCCGCTAGGATACCGCGTTCGTATTAGATTATAGATTGCAGTTAAGCTAGTAGAACTGCGAGGTCGCGTGTAAAAGGAAGCCTCTAATAAGTGTCGTTAATTTACGCCAATTTGTATAGTGATTGCATTTTGAAGCGCATTTATAGTTTCTCTAAGATTTTAGATATTGCTGTCAGAACCGAGATCGGCCTATAATTGCTAATATCTTCACCATCCCCACCCTTGTATACGGGTGTTATAATTGATTGTTTCAACGGTGCAGGATACACACCTTTAAAAGATTTACAAGGTGCATTTTGAAGCGCATGGGCAATATTTAATTTGCTTGTGTGGACGGTTAATATCGTACGAAAGAATTTAGTTTGTTGTTTGGAACGCTGAACCTTGTGACTCCTGTGGTTATAATTTTGTTGCTAAGTGAAAATGGAAGTTGAATTTTGAACGACCGTTCATTACTTGTTCCTTGTGTCCCGTGTTTGATTAAGATTAACAGGGATTTAGTTGAGTTTGAAGTTAATTAAATGTACAATAAAGTTGATGGATTGAAATAGTGTACAATAAAGTTGATAAACTGAAATAGTGAAATTAAGGCAGAAATTTTCAATTGGTGATGTACGACTGGAGGGAGCGCACATTGGGAGAACATCAGCTCCGGTGGATCTTCTGTCCGATTAAATCAGGCCGTCAGGTCACATATGTGTTTATATATGTGACCTGACGGCCTGATTTAATCGGACTACACACTACTTACATGCACCTCACTTATCACCTGACTGGTAGCCTGTAGTCAACCCTACCTCCTGAAATAGGTAAGTGCTTGCTTATTTGTCAGCCGTTTTTGAACATTTATCCATAGGCCGTTGGGCCCCGTCCTCTGTTGCCCGTCGATGGGATTACTCATGGGCCCTAGTCCAGTCAACCTTTGTTGGGGCAACTCAGGGCGTGAACAATTTCTTTACGCTTTTCAAGTATATTGATTGTCAAAAAGTGTTTTGTTGGACGATTTAACAGTTTAATTAAACATTTAATATTTTATTGGAGTTTTATTTAATTTTCCTAGTTTAATTAAGGTGGTCTTAAACTTTTCGCCTGCAGTGTATAGTGTGTTACAATGTCTTATTACTACAATTAGCAATTAATCATTATCATTAATATTTTTAACAATTAACCTCATGATGTATTTCAGAAATATAGATTGTTTATATCTTTATTTACAAGAAATTGTTACTTCTGCTAATAAATATATAGCACAGAAGTAAACTACACTTTTGATCAAGGGTTAATATTTTTACAGACCAAAACATTATCAAATACACTGGCGAGCAAAACAATCGGGCCACCCGTAAATTTTTCACTTATTTGCTGTTTTGACCGTAAATAATGTCGTAAAGATAACTACGAAGATTAGCCCTTGTTTCCCTCAACATAAGTCAAACTTGTAGGAAATGCAAATGTGCGCTTAACAATAGCCAAATAACGCAAAATAGGAAAATAGATATTATCAATACAACCGACTCCAAAAAAGGGGGAGGTACTCAATTCAACTGTTTTTTTTTGTGTTACCTCAGAACTTTTTTTGTAGGTGAACCGATTTTAACGATTATTTTTTAATTTGAAAGCTGGTGCTTCTCATGTGGTACCAAATTTGATCAAGACCTGACCAGTAGTTTTTGAGTTATCCTTAATAATGCGTATTTAATTGACTTCGACTACATTGATGATGTTCTCATTTGATTTATATTGAAGTCGGTTATACAACATTTTTAATTTTACCATTTGCTTAGACACTCAGTTAAGTTCCAATTATTGAACGGGACACTTTTACCTTGATTTGCAACTATCAAGAACTTTATAATATGGATCTGACTAAAACTGAATCTCTTCGAATTGTGACTTAAATATTGAGACCTCTCGACTTCAAGTGTCAGGTAGCCAGAACTGTCACACTCTATGAAAAGTTCTACGGTCCAAAGAGTGGTACAAACGCCACTCGAAGACTGGTGGCTTTAAGAGACGATGCGGTCAAAGAACACCTCATCAGCACTAAGAAATCATCATCAACCTGGGGTTGAAATACAAAATCTCTTGGTAAGTGAGCATTTTGCCCAAGGAAACGTCAATTCAAGTGTAACATTAACGTGGTGCCGATAATCGTAATCTTGTGTACCGACGACCAAGAAAAGATTATCTTTTTGTTGTGTGGTCATTTTTGCAACATTCAAATGCAGCCGTAAAAGGAGTCAACGCCAAACCTTAGGCGGCGAATAATTAACCCAACCAACCCTCACTCAAAATTTTCTAGTGATCTTGGAGTTGGCGATCCGTGGCCGTGAGAGACTAAATCCCCTCTAAAAGACTCATGGTTCCGCTGGAGAGAGTGGATATATCCAGTGGACTAACACACCCACCTGAGCTAGGAGCTACGCAGTCGAGCGCCGTACGCCGAGATGAAGGGATTCTGAAGGGTTAAGCCGATCGTCACTGAGGTATATAGTGGCGAGAGGCAACGCGCCCCTTTTGGTCCAGCTTTCTAGTAAAACAGTGGCCCTGTTGGTAGCTACAGATAGGGAAATGGCCAAGCGCCCCGTCAGAGGATCGCACACTAGTGACGTGGGGGCTGCCTAGTTTCCTGAAAAGGGCTAGGCGGTGGTAAAGGGCATGCTGACGAAGCAAGTGACAGTTATTCAGGCAGTGGGGATGGGCCTTTTTCACCCCTATCTATCAGCTGATATCGAGCCCCCGATGTCGCGCTGTGAGCCAACTTCACGTCCCTATATTCCCCCGGTAATCCTAACGGTGCGGGCTCAATGGAGTGGGAATACGAATCAAAAAAACGAATATTAATGCCATGACGCTTTAAGGCCCATCAAGAAAGAAGGAGAGGTGCCAGAGGTGATTACCAGAGGCACCAACAAACAAGGAGGTAACGCCAGTAAAACGGTGGTTTCACAGAACATGTCTCCCATTGTAGGTGGCCCTACCAAAGAAATCCGCTAAGAAGCAGAGAGCAGCAAAGTAGGTAAGAAAGAGATCAGGCAAACCGATGCTAATCGAAACCACCTCGCCGAGTAGCGAACATAAAAGTGTGAGACTCAAACAGCAACTTAAGGTTGCAAAGACCAGCTATTCTTCCACTGTTAAAGCTGAATTGTGTGTGGCCTTAACGTGTGCACGTACAGGTCGCATCACAAAGGAAATGGTTGACGATATCCTAGTGGGTATCCAGAGGAAGATGATCAGCGAGGCTTGGAATAGCCAAGAACCTGATGCATCGGGCCTAGTCTTCAGAGACATAGCCGTATATATGGTGGGGATCCTGAAGCTGTGGTGCGACGATCAGTAGGCGTAGGCGGATTGGGTTGAAGGGGAACATCACCACCATCGACCTTAAATCCAAAACCTCGCTGGTCATCAAATAACAGTCAGATACCACAGAGAATCAAGTGGTATCCTTATCCCTGACTTGGGTTTGGAAAGACTCACGCAACATTGGTCGTGTGCTAGCGTACCAGAACCGCTGGGATTGGCTGTTGCTCAAGGCCAACAAGCAGACGGACGGGTAATTCCGCGTTGTTTCTGTACCGGAGGATCATATTCCAACCCTGATGAAAGCTGGACGCCGCCTCGTATGTGTATTTGGGGCGTTCTAAGTAAAATTCTAGGGTCGTGGTGGAATTTTTTTTAATACTCCACCAAGCAGAGCCGGTGAACAACCCCAAAGTCATGGATACTGGTGCTGTGAATACCGGAGCAGCGGCGTGACAAAACGGCCTGCACAAGTGAGCAGAAGCCATCAGTAGAGATCGGGCTCAACGGCTATTCACTGAGTGACGAAGAGGATAGCATTTTGCCGTCCAATTCAGACTCTGTGGCTGTAGATGAGACCTGAGATCTGTTGGCACGCTTATTTTTGGGCGGGGACGGGGAGGACACGATCAACGATGGCATGCCCTATGTCCAGAACTAGCCTCATGCAGGCCAACCTCCACCACAGCATAACTACGTCGGCTCAATTACGCAAGTGGTTGGAGGTTCGATGGACGGCCATAGCCCTAATCTAGGATCCGTGGGTTGGAGCTGGTAAAACCAAAGGCCTAAACAACCTAAAGGGTAAGTTATTCTACAACCGCCGTGCACGACAGGCCTAGGGCGTGTATTTATACTACTAACAATATCTGTGCACAACTATTAACAGATTTCTGTTCCAGAGACATTCCATTGTAATACAAAATACACAGGAGGGAAGATTGGTTGTCGCCTCGGACTACATGCCGAAGGAAAACACACCTCCCCCTCATGATCTCGTCAGGCTAGTAAATTTCTGCGAGAGGACTGGACTAGAGGTTGTAACCGGGACGGACTGCAATGTGCATCATCCCCTCAGGGAAAATGAAAAACCCAACGAAGGAAGTAAGTTGTTAGTTGAATCTCTTATGCACTAACCTAACCATTTTAAACAGAGGTACCAAAACAACCTTCATAAACAAACATAATCAAACAATAATAATTGAACTTAGACTTGCAACAGAAGGAGCAGCAAAACTAACAATTTCTAGTTTATTTGGGAACAAATCTGTTATTTATCTATATCTATACATAGCATAAACAGAAGTTTTTGGAGAGTGTCTATCCCTTTCTACTGACTTCAAAAAGGAGGCAGTACACAATTCAACTGTATGTTTTTTTTAATGTTTCTGGGTGAATGCATTTCAATGATTCTTTTTTATTTGAAAGATGGTGCTTCTCATGTGGTCCCATAAAAATTTAATGAAGGTCTGACCAATAGCTTTTGAGTAATTCTTAATAATTTATATTGAAATTGGTTGTACAAAATTTTTATTTTTAAATTATGTATGTTCTCACTTATATCAGTAACTATTGTGCCGATTTTAATATGGTACCCAATAGACTGATTGATTTACCAGCAATTTATGAATATTTTGTGCAAATTTTATGATGATAATTTCTCATTTAAATCAGAAAAAAAGTTTTCAACATTTTGCATATCTCAAGTAAAAATCATGATATCTTCAAACCAATATCATTTGATGTTTACTTACATGACACATAAAAATATTCTGTTTTTTTTTTTTAAGATCAAAATCAAACAGAAAAAATGATAGTGAGGGCAGTCCGAATTGTGCCAGTGCTACTTGTGTATTTTTGACAACAGTTAGTAATTAAATTAATATTAATAAAACAAGTGGGATGCAGCAAGTAAAGACTGTGTAAGAACCTCTGAAGGAGGCAGTTATATAGCGGTAATAACAATTTTTAATTTTTTGGCTGTTTTTTACCCCCTAGGAGTGTAATGAGAACTTTTTGCCCCTATTCCACCACAACCCCCATGACATCCTCTACATGATAGGTTATTCAAACTGACTATCCCTATAGTTTGAGTCACCCCCAACTCATTTCTAGTGTTTACTTCCAAAAATACTAAAATTAAAAAGTTCAGTTTTTAAACCCTGAACTTTTTTAATTCCACAATTCAGGAGAACATCCTAAAAGAAGTATTTAGATACATAAAATGGTCACAGACAACATCAACATCCAATCCCAGAACAACCATTTGTAGACCATACAAACACTTGTTCCATGTGGGATTTAAACATACTACCTTCAATTAGATACTTAGTAAAAAAATAAAGTATATTTTTATGTTTAAATTCATTATGTTAATTAACCTTATAATGTCTATGTCATAATAATCTCGCACTTAAATATTAATTAAAGACAAATGTCAATAAAACATATACAAGGCTTAATTATAATTTCATTGCACATACCAAACTGACTAAAATATTATAAATTATTTAATCAATTGATATTCATATTACAATATCAGTACAGAGTATCTAATTTTTCACTTATAATAAATATTACTTTACCACATAATTAATAAAAATTAAAAATGTCCTAGTCATACCTGTTTAGGACTCTTCTCAAGTAACATTTCAATTGTTTTACTAAAATATGATGCCAGTAAGGGATTTAAGGGTGGATCCTTATTAACAAAGTCACAAAGCCGATTCATCTGCACCACATCCATAGATAGCCGGTCACTTAACATCATAAGCTGGCTGGTGAGGACCTCACTAGCAATGTGAGCATGGCGGTATTGTGATGTCATATCCACATTTTTAGGGGGCTCCTCTGTAATGAGGGTCACAAGCTCTCCTAGTATTTCTGGTTTTGTTAAGCTGGAATTTTAACAACAAGTAAACATTGTAGGTAACAAAGTATACACTTAATACTTAACATAGCTTTTAATCGTAACACTAAATTTCCGCCCATTTAAGTGTCTATATCAAATATTATGCTTTAGCAGTGCAAATTTTAACTATTGCATATCTAAATTAGTAAACGGTTGATTTTAAAAAGTTCTATAGTAGAGAGTCACTTACAAAAGTATAAGCGCTTTATTATCCGCCTTACATTCTTGAAGAATATTATCCGCCTCCAACACTTGAGTCAATGTTACATTCTATAACAAAACAACATTCTTATAAAACACCGCAATATTGTTCTAGACGAATTCTTACACAAATTAATACATTTGAATATTAATTCCTAAAATGTGTAATAGATGCAATAAAATCCAATAGGTAGATTGTTAAATTTCGGCCCAAACTTATTCCTACAACGATTCATAACCATGAATTCCAGCATCAAAATACATACCTCCTCTTTAAGGAGATTATTTATCTCCCTCACTAAGACAAAATTTCCCCTCCAAAACATAATTAAAATTTTATAAGTACAATTTTAACTTTTCTAAATCCATAGAAAACTTCTGTTTTTATTGTACGAATTTTAGCGTTTCACCGATAAAAGTGCAACGATCCGTTTTCTCTTTCTGTCTGTCAAATTACTATAATCTTTGGTCTCTCATAACCATGGACAATTAACTGATTATTATTACTGTTATTAAGATTTTTGGCTTGAATGTTTGTCCTTTAAGTCATGTCTTCATTTATCTCAGTATCAAGTGATAATAATCCCTTCTGCTGCTTTACAATATGTTGATGCGTCACATTGCGTAGTTTCTGGGAGATTTCAACGGCAACTTGAGCCATCAGGTGGTTGATATTTCAAGGCGCCTAAGCAGACAGGCACTTTATTTTCAGATTCACATCACCATCGGAGCACTTGTTTCACCATTTCCACTAACACATGTTCACATGCGGAGTCATTTAATGCCTACACAAAATCGCACTACTTTTACATATATAGAGAAAGAGGAAAAGTAGGTGGTGGATAACGATCATTCATCGGAATAGAACAAGAACTTATTAACTTTGTATGGATATGTTTATACATCTATTACTTTGCAAATCAGTGGCGGTCCTAGCCAAACTTTTATGTGTGGCGATATCTCAAAGTAGCGCCCCTCTAAAGACAAAACCTAAGTGTTCCTATACTATGCAGTTGCATTCGTGATTTTAAATAGTAATAGATCATTTTTTGTCGCCTAGCTCCCATCCGCCAAACCCGTACCGTCCAATAAGGAACTTAGTTGCAAAATATTGTCCGTTCCGCTTGCTGTACCCTGTTGCGCTCGATAATGCCAGTGTGCTTACCCTGCTGCGGTGACGAGGTGTACAGATAAGTAATAAAAACTTCAACTTCACGCCGGTATTCTGTGAGGTCGTGGTACCAACCCGGCTCGAGCTGGCCCATACGTGCAACAGCAAAAACTGCTGCATGGCTCTACCACCGTTGAATTAAGACTACTTTATATTAAGATATATAATACTGTGGGCAAAAAATAGTAAGACTTTGTTCATAATTTTAAAATTCTTTAATTATTCTGCCAAATCTACATCGTACGTTTTTTCCAATCCTCGTAACAGTTGTTAAAGTCAATTTCCGGAATAGCCTTCAATGCGCGTAGCGATTCACGTTTAATGTCTTCAATTGACTCAAAACGGTTTCCCCGGAGCGGTCGCTTGAGTTTGCTGAACAGCCAGAAGTCGTACGGGGCTAAGCCAGGCGAACACGGTAGTTGTGAAACGATATTGGTTGAATTAATGGGTCGGCTCGACCGGGGAAGGACCACGCTCTCACAGAAAACAAGCGTAAAATAGCAGCTTAACGCTGCTGTGTTTCGTATGGTGAGTGTAGAGAACCTGAGACCCCTTTTACTGGCAAAGAGGCATTCCATCTTAGTCCTCACGGGTGACAACGCATTTGCATCTTGAGTCTTTATTGAGGATAGATGTAGATGTCTATGGGTCACAGTAACCACTTACCATCAGGTGGACTGTGTGCTCGTTTGTCACCCTATCCTATAAAAAAAAAGAATCAATGCAGTATGCGGCGGTGCATTATCATGGTGCAAAAACCAAGAGTTGTCGGCCCATTATTCAGGCCCCTTTTTACAAATAGCTTCACGCAAACAACGCATAACTCTCAAATACTATTCCTTATTGATAGTTTGGCCGGTCGGAAGGAATTCGGAGTGCAACACACCTCGATGATCGACGAAAACTGTCAACATGATCTTGATTTTTGACTTGCTTTGTCGTGGTTTTTTCGGTTTCGGCTCACCTTTGGCACGATATTCGGCCAATTGATCGTCTGTTTCCGGGTCGTAAGCATAGATCCAAGACTCGTCGCCAGTTATAAAACGTTACATGACATCCTGGTAGTCAGACGCGACACTGTTTTTCAAGAAAATTGAGTGATTTTGGAACCAATCGTGCATTCACTTTTCTTAGGCCCAAATGATCTTTTAAAATGGTTTTCACTGATCCTTCCGATATTCCAACAATATCAATAAGGTCTCTGACTGTTAATCGTCGATCCTCGAGCACCAATTCCTTGATTTTATTGACGTGTTGATCATCAGTTGATGTTGATGGCCGTCCTGAACGTGGTTCGTCGTCAACGCGTTCTCGACCCGCTTTGAATAATTTGTACCAATCAATAACACTTGCTCGCGATATACAATTATCACCGAAGGTCTTTTGCAACATTCTGAACGTTTCGGCACCAGAAATTTGATACCTACATAAAATTCGCCGAATGCACTTTTTGTACTTCAGAAAGACAAGCGTATACTAAACACTAATGATTACTTTGATGTGATATTTGGCACAGATGACACTGACAGTCATACCAAGGTAGAAAAAAAAACGACGAATGGATTTCCGCGCGAAATTTAAATTAAAGTCTTACTATTTTTCTCCACGGTAGTATATAAGGTTTTCAAGGACAAAGCCTTTATAGATCCTGGCTTACAGTGATAGGAGAGGGCTATAGGTTTGTTACATTAAAATAATTTGTACTGTTAAAGATATTAGATGCAAGAAGTTGTAGATTAAGCCCGAGTTAGAAAATAAGGTAAAAACTTAAAATAACAATTTTTATTGATGTGGGTAGTGTCTTTAAGTACTGCAGCCGATGAAACGCGAAAAATCATGAAACGGCTTTTAAGTACAGTGTTTTCCTAAAATATTTTAGATTTGAAGTGTATTTTTGTAAAAGAAACGAATTTAAAAACATAGGGCGCTCTCTTATTGAATTTGGCGTTTCTCAATGTATCTTTAACGCCGACCGATCAATCATATGCTATTATTATAGCACAGCAGTGACGTCATACAAGATGTCACCAAAGTGACTGCTGTTTGAAATGATTCTCAGTTATTGGAAATTAAATATTTTATTTCATGACCCTAAAGTGGCGTAAAAATTTAATATGATTTTTTTTTTTATTTACATAAATATTTTAAATATCTCTGGTTAATAATAGACTTAATTGGACATAATTATGTCTTTATCTATTAAAGGCACAAAATTCTTATTGACATTATAATATAGTCTGTTCGCTTTTTTTTTTTATTTGGTTTACAAATGGAATGTAACGTAACCATGTAAGGTTCAAGTAACATAAAAAAGTAACAAACAAACGTTCTTTCTAATAACAGTGAACACAGCATGCAACAAGTGGACATGATAACAAATAAAAATTAAGAAATGAAAAAACTCTTAAATAATAAATATTAATTAATTAATGGCTAATCTAATGTTAGTCCTTGCTGAGGCCTTAGAACCATGAAATATGTCGAACAAATCACGAATATTATTATAACTATTAGTCATTCTGTACAATGGCGAGTGATGACCCGCCACTGTTTTACAGTGTGGCGTAACTAAAGTCTTTTTGCGGCCCAAGCGACTGCCGGCTCTAGGGACCGACACATCTAAATGATTTAAAATGTCCGGACAGTTGATGAGACCATGGATAATTTTATAGAGGAACATGACATCAGATGATTCCCGCCGCTTGGATAGCAATTCTAATTTGTAGTATGCCAATCTACTCTCATATGAAATGAGTGTCCTGCATTGGTTATTTGCATGCAATAACTGGTACATAAACCTTTTCTGAATCTTTTCCAGTCGGTTTAAGTGACACTTGTTCCCCGGATTCCAGACTGGGCTAGCGTATTCCACAATACTTCTCACCAAACAGTTATGGACCGGAATGATTAAATCAGGGTCTTTGAAAGATTTTATTTGCCTGGATATAAACCCGGATAACTTAGAAGCTTTTTTTGTTCTTGCGTCAATATGGCTTCTAAAGCTGAGCGTGCTATCAATTAAAACGCCTAAGTCCCAGATTTCCGTGATCTCACCCAATTGTTCATTTTATGCTTTTTTTTTTTATTGTTTGTTAAATAAATGTTTTTCTATTCTAAGAATAAAACAGAATAATATTTTATTCGTATGGTTATTGTAATAAAATACGAATATAAATAATAAACACAAGTTAGGTAGCGACTCAAAGTTAGGACCCGACAGAGGTCAGGATTTCCAAAACTTTAGATAACTTGAACGCCGTATCTGTTCTACTCGAATCAATGGTCAGTAGAAGAAGGCCGAGGCGGTTGACTGTATGACCATCCACATAGGGCAGGGGTCGCAACCTGCGACTCGCGAGCCACATGCGGCTCTTTGGATGTGAAGCTGCGGCTCTTTAGTTTCATACGCAAATAATATTTATTTTATATAAAAAAAAAACATTTAAAAATCGATCCACACGAGCCATTTCGAGTTGATACTGGATCTCTAGAGATATAACTGATCGATTTAAAAAGTAAAGTTTTGTGGAGTTGAAAATTTACAGAGTTGAAAATCAAGTTGATAGAGTTGGAGATACAAAAATGTATGTACGTAACGTAACAAAAATTAAAAGCTTTAAGAGAAATGCCGCGAGTTGAGGCACTTATATTCGACGCACGGAATAGTCCTCCAGATTGCTACAGTGAGGTGAAGAAGTTGGCATTTGGAGTCCTGACTGTCTTCGGATCGACATATTCGTGCAAGCAAGCGTTCTCTTGCATGAACATAATTAAAAGTAAAGTAATAAGCCAACAAACAAATGAAAATTCAGAGTCGTGTTTGAAACTTAAAGTAAAAAAAAAACTTTGCTTTGGCATATGGTCTGACACAACTGGTTACATGATCATGATCATAAACAGATCTCCCGCATGATCGGTTAAACGTGAACCGAGCCATTCGGCCTGGTGAGCGTTAAAATCGCCAAGGATCACGATCTCTGCGGACGGACCTGTTGTAGCAAGGAATCTGTAGCCATTTGGACGTGGTCGATGACTCGGTATGTTTCGGCATTACCGCTATGGGACCTATAGAGGCACTCGTAGACGCGCGAATGGTCGACGCTATCTACGCGTAGCCAAAGGATGGACAGGTCCGAACCTTCAAGACTGCCGAGGCGTCGAGAACAGATGTCCTCTCTGACATACACGCAAACTCCAGCCCGAGGCACAAAGGAGTGCTCCAATTTGTACCCCGGGTAGGACAGATACGAAGTATCAGCCGGAGAGGACACCTGCGTCTCGGTCAGAAAGAGCAAGGCCGGCTTCGCCGTCTCGAGATGGTAGTGGACGGCGTTTAGGTTCGAGTGAAGTCCCCTGATGTTGCAGAAATTCACGGATAGCGTGGCAGGGGTCGCCTTGGTCTTGTTACTCAGTTTGCCCCGAGCAGTTATTGTGTTGAGCGGAATTTTGCCCCCACGCTCAGAATACTCGGGGCAGCCTGAGCACCCACGCTCAGGAGTGGAATAGCATGGTCGTGGATGCTCAGCGAGGGATTCTCCAGGGGTGCTGGTGCCCTCCTGGGGTAGTCTATTATGTAATTCATAGTTAATAGGGGAATTGGGGCCTCCGGTCACCTGCTACTCACCAGACGAAATGCGGAAGCAGAGCTTCCACTTCACGCCGGTATTCTGTGAGATTGTGGTACTAATCCGGCTCGAGCCGGCCCATACGTACAACAGCAAAAGCTGCTGCGTGGCTCTACCACCGATAAACTGTTAGTTGCTTGTTATACCAATAAGTAACCGTGGAGAGGCGGTGTCCACTACTCCATATTATTCCGTGGTTATCGTAAGAAGCAACAGAGTAATTGTAACAGGAGTTAGGCAGCAGCATCTTCCTGATAACAACAAAATAAAAAAAACTGCGTTTGCCAACCATGACAACTAATATGAGGCAATATAACTATGGGGCAATCTATGAGGGAGGCTCATGTTCAGCAGTGGAGTTCTAATAGGCTGTAATGGCAATGGTTTTAAAAACTGGGAGAAACCCAGTGGCAAAGCCATGAAGCAAATACTAAGAGGTGTTGTAATTAGATTTCACTATGTAACAACGCGTGACAATTTGCGGGGTGAGGGGATGTTAAGCTCCGCTCACTTTACATCTACATCTAGCGATAAATAGTAAAACTACTCGAATCGTTCCATATCGATGTTGCAATGTAGATTAACTACATTGACGATAGATGGTGGTATGTACACAAAATGATTATAAAAACTATAAAAATAATATTTTGGCGATTAAAAATTCTTTAGGACTGAATGCAGAACAAATTTTAGCACCTTCGTATGATTATTGTACAAATACTTAGCTCTACGTACCTTTATATTTTTAGTTCACATGACACAAAGTGTCGCCATCTAGTGTCGAATATATTTAATTATATTTGAAAACCGACGCAGAGTTTTTTCTAGAACTATTGTAATAAATTGGGTGTAAAATTATTTACAAATGAAACGTAATGCATTCTATAGTATCTGAGTAGTTTTTAGACGATAAAACACAACACTTCATCCTTTTCTTCTTAATACTACGAAAATACACCGATTTGCGATTTTCAACACATAAGCGCACTGGACGAATGATGACAGTATACTAACTAAAGCCACGCCCACTATGATGACGACAGCATCTACTTAGAATCACAGTGCACAGTTGCTTATGCTCTCTCCTCTTTGTATTTGCTTCATGGGCAAAGCGAAATTCAACGCCTCTCTCCCAGCGTGGTTGGTCTTCTTGTATAAGAATAGCCAGTCCTGATAACAGAAATTAAAGTCCACAGAAAACCAGCTATGCAAAAGGGTACCGATTACGAACCACGTGAAAGGCCCGAGTTATTCCGAGGTGGTCAACGTTGTGCGAATTGGTAGAAAGTAATAAATGATTTATACAATCTTGTTTCTACAAAAAACCCAATTCGTGGAGAAAGTGGGGTCGTCAAGGTGACAGTGACGATTAAAACAGACGCCATCGCGGACATAGACTCCAAGGGACGCCGCATCAAGCGAACATCTGATCTGAGTCTCCGTAAGAGTAAGTGTGGCTGGTTAGTCTTAAGGTGTTAGTGGTCTGCATTGAGATTAAAGTCCAGACCTCGGTTGTTTGTAAGGTGCATATTGATGGAGAAGGTGTGCAACCGCGCGGCTAGCTCATTTATTGGGTGCCAAACTATTTACATTTGGCCAGCGGTGCAACCGTATTTCGGATCCCGCTAGCCTTCAGCCTTCCCAAAAAAGGGTTTTACCCAACATCTAACCGGAACACGACATGCTTTTTTGGCGCTAAGTCTTTGCTAGACGGCAGAAGACCAGCCTCCCACCAGGAAGTGGTGCTGGTCCTTTAGTACCACCCAGAGGATACATATGGAGTGTCAGAATTCAAGTAATTCCTACCGACGCAAACATTCTTCCCCAATAAGGTATGGATGAACTTCTTTCATTCGCGCTTAAAAACCGATAACTCGAAAATATTTAAGAACCAGGCATTAGCAAATATCGGCGACTATAGGCCAATACACCCTCCACACATTAGTGTTCACCACTATTTCGCGGAATATACAGGAACGTTTGGGTGGCGATACATACCATGGCAATAAAGTGCTTAGCAAGTTATGTTCGCGGGTACGGAGCGCAGGGGACTAGTTAAGCACTCAACGGCTGTCGACGTACTGCTTTAATTTCATAGATTATTATTGGGCGCAAACGCGGCCGCGCACAAGCATAATACACAACACACACCATAAAAGAGAATATCAATTTTTTTTATAGAATAGGCTAACAAACGAGCACACAGTCCACCTAATGGTAAGTGGATGCTGTGGCCCATTGACATACATATATCCTCGATTAAGAATCAAAATGCAGATGCGTTGTCTTGAAGACTAAGACGGAATGGCTCGTTTCCAGTAAAAAGGGTCTCCGGTACGCTACACTTACCATATGAAACCTCCAGTGTTTAGAATAAAGATAAAAAAGAAGGAATAAAAATTAACAAGAGCAACCACATATTTTATTTGCTCACAATATGTTATTCCTGAATAACATAAACAATTAATGTTGTGTCAATAACTGCATAGCAAGTGCTTCAGCTTCTTGTATTGACAATGAAGCAGATATATCCTCTAACTTCTTTTTCTTCCTTGGCGCTACACTATCTTGAGGAATACCCTTACTTTGAACCAGTTTATGTTTTGAAGGCCTGTAAAGAAATATCATAAAGAATATTAGTACTGGAAATTACAATATTTTATAAACATCATCATCAACGTCATCATCATCACCATTATTTCAGCCCTTCACAACTCCACAGGTGAACATAAGGTTCCACCAAGGAATACGCAAGTCCGGTCTTCCTGTATCTCTTACCATATCGTCAATACATCTAGTGCAGTGATTCCCAACCAGTGGTCCGCGGGCCACCAGTTGTCCGTAAGAGCTTATATATAGTCGGCAAATTACCTATTCCTTTAAATAACACATTTATTATTTTATTAGATTAACACAGTTTTTTCTTTCACCTTGTGGTCCCTGCTAACTACAAAAAAATCATAGTGGTCCCTGGTCAAAAAAGATTGAGAAACCCTGATCTAGTGGGCATAGGCCCTGAAAATAAGCCTCGACTAAGATTGCCTCACAAGGGGTATATTTGCCATAGTTGCCACCCTTTGCAGGCTGGTATCGAACCGCAGTTTTTTATTTTCTCGTTTATACAAATACAACCATTAAATTAATGTAAACAAACTTATATCAGAAAAATGTATACTTAAGTGCATAACCACAGTTCTTTCTGAATTATTACTGCTTATATTATTTTTTAATGAGGGGGCAAACGAGCCTCCCATAAATAACTACAACGCCAGGGAAATTGCAAGTGCATTGCCGGCTTTTTAAAAAGAAGTAGACTTTTTTCTTCAAAACCCGTCAGTCGTACTGGTCCAGAAAAATCGCTCGTGAGCTCATTATACAAAGTAGAATTGCGAGAAAAAAACTTTTCGAATATCACACTGTGGTGAACCCTCAAGCATTCAGATGTTGTGTTAAAGTTACAGCCTATATACGTCCTACTGCTGATGCTCTCATTTCCTAGAGGATTTTAAGACAAGGAAATGTACGCCGCGCTGCCCCTTTGTTTTTTTTTCTTATTTCTCAGACATGCAGGTTTCCTCACGGTGTTTTCCTTCAACGCCAAGCACGTGTTAAATTAGCACTTAAAATTGTAACTAACAATTTCATTAGAGCCGGCGTGGATCGAACCCGAGTTGCTTGCGTACAGTTAAATTTACAGTGAGCACTTAGCACCTGAGCTACTACTGAGTTCCAGGCTGCCCCACAATGCTGCATCGCTCCAGCAGGCTCCACCGCTGGACCATTTCTTTCTTCATTGTCACTATTTCAGTCTATTAGCTTCATTGTACATTTAACTCACTTAAACTCGCCTAATTCCACATTCATCGTAGAATCGAACACGTGATACCCGACACAGTAAGGACAGTAGTTCAAAATTCGACATTCAATGTCCCGGATTCACTTATAACAAAATTATAAATAGGGCACTAACGCGATCTCTTAATGAGTCATACGGTTCAGCGTTAAACACAACTAAGTTCCTTCATTCGACACGAAAACGAAAGAATTCAAAATACGCCTCGTTGACACGTAAACTAACAAACCAACCAACACACAAAAAAGGCACTTAACGCGACGGCACAATTATAATGATTTCCAGACAATCAACCGGGAGACGCTCTCGACCAAGGAATGCGCGGTTCGAATCCTAGACCGTATATCTATTCGACGCGCTTGTGCACAATTCCGCATCACCCGAACAAGTTAAATATTGCAAAATTCACATATCCACGTAGCGAAGTAACACGCACTAAAAAAAACTATCTGGACCCTACACGGTCGCGTGAACTTCGGCTGCGATAACCTAGATAAGCGGCTTCACCGCATCGCGGCCAGCGAACTACTCTCTTCTTCGCCCACGCGTCGAGCCACTGCAAACCGCACACGGCCGCCGCACCTGGCGGCGTTTTTTTCACCTACATACCATCGGGTGACGCGCCAGCTCGAACGCAATTGGATGGCGTTCAAAAATGACCAAATTTGGACATAAACAGTGGGGGATCTGTTGAAGTTGTTTTGTCCTTAAATTGGGGAATTTGACATTGATTTTCGGAGAACAAATTTAACAAATTGGTGTTGGCAATGTTGCACAGAAATTTACCTACTAAGATTTGTTTGCCGGCGACATAAGAATTAGAGACGCCAATCAATAAAACTTTAATTTACAAGTAGCAAGTAATTTTTAATAGTTTTGACGTAACTTAAAAAGTTAAATTTAAAGTATTGGACGGATTAAATACGGAAAGTCAATTAATATAAAGTAAATTAATTATTTTTTAGATTAATTCTGATAGATTAATTAACTGTCGATCATAATTCCAATTGATATTAAGTATTAAATTATTCAGTACCATTTCATTTCTATTTTCTTGTACAAAATCAAAGATAATGATGAAATAGTGTTTATAATTATGTAAGTGAGTACCCAATTAGGTAAGTTTATTAATTTCAATATCATTTTTGTAGTAACGAACTGCTTATTGCTACAGTTGATTGTGTAATTGTATTAAAAGTGACAACCATAACTTCTAAATTCCATACGAAGACTACTCGTAGGGATAACTAAACTTATAAATAAAATAAACGTTGGCAATGTCGTAACGGTTTAACGATCTGTAGAAATTACCACAGTGAAAGTTCCCCAAGGACGTTAGGACGTTAGCGGTAGGCATTTGTTTGGGCGGGATTTCAGTTTTTGAGACAGTTCCGTGTTGCCGTGTTGACTATCACGTGCGCGTGAATGACAGTTCAATCGTTTTGTTTATTAAATTCTTGCTGTTACGTTTTGTGTTTCTTGTTTTGTTTTAATAATGCCTAACGCGTACGTTTAGTTCTCGTGAATACGGCAACATGTTAATGTGCCTTGGAGAATCTCATAAGGCTACGTAGGATTTAGATCGGTAAGCTGTTTCATACCTATTTTTTTAAATAACTTAGTACTGAACTGATCTGAATAGGTACGGCGTCCACGCATATATTGACCCTAGTCAGCCGATATTTATTCATTTTAAATTCCACTGCTGGTTTTATGTTTAAGTATTTTCATGATTTTTTTTAGGAAATTATCGTTTCATTTAGCTGTACTAACATGATCGAGCGTGAATAAAGCTTATAAAACGTTGTGAAAAGATGAACTTTTTCCTCGGGATCGTTTTTCTTTCTGATCCATCATCAAAAGTAGCGTCTGTCTTCGTTTTCGGAAGCGTTTCAAAAATATTTATATTTATTAATGCGATCAGAAAGAACTCGGTCGTCGAAAATTCGGTTCGCTCTTCGCCGTTGCAGTCAAGCGGAAAGTCAAACGGACATTGGGATACCCGGCGGCAAACATTAGAACAGAATTAAATATAAAGCCGAACTTTCAGCTTGTTAAGTATTTGCGGCTTAAGAGAATCCACTACCCAATACCATCCTGCGGGTATCGTAAAAAGCAACAGATGGTAATTGTTACAGGAGATGGGTAGTACAGGAGTAGGATCTTTCTGATAACAAATCAAAATAATAAAATACCATAGTCGCCAAACCGCCTGCCAAGCATGGCAACTGTAGTATCCGCTCTAAAAAGGGGGAGGTCTACATTCAGCATTGAACTTTTGATAGGCCTTAATGAATGAATGAAGGCATAGGCAGAAAGTACCAAAAGTGGCGCATTTTTGACAATAACAAAATTTAGGCTACATCACCACTTACCATCAGGTGGTATTGTGGGATTATAGTTAAGTTAAACGCTGGCTTAGAATGGTAAAATAAAAAAGTAAAAAATAAATGACCTGTGATATTTTTCTTCGCTTTCATCATCTGATGCACTGCTATTGTGCTCCGTATCAGACCTGTCGCTACTCTCATCGCCACTATCTTTTTTGCCGTAAACTTTATCAGGATCTGGCAACCATGACAAATCAGGTCCATCAGAATCAGATTGTGATCCAAATTCATCTTTTTCTTCAGCTTCTTCTTTTTTCTTGTTTTTGAGTTTACGTTTCTGCTCCTTGTGTTTGGCTTTTACTTTCTCTCTAAACCTTATTTTATCAAATTTATCTTCTTCTCGCAGAACCTCTTTAGCCTTTTCTATATCAATACCACCAACATTCTCATTTATGAATTGCTTTGCTAATTCAGATTTGACATCCCTCTTTTCATCTTCTATTGCTTCTCCATCTTCTGAAAATTTCAATTTTGTGTTTACTTTGATTTTCTTCTTTAATAACTTCTTAGCCACCGCAGCTTTTGTCAATGGTTTCTTTTTCTTTTTTGATGTTTGTTTTTCTTCCTCTTCTACTATTGGATCATTAACATCGACGATAGTTTTCTTAACTTGAAGAAAGTCATCTTCCTCACTATCTGCATCATTATGAAAGTCAAATTTAGGCAGTTCTTTTGTAAGTTTTTTGTTTTTATTTTCAACTGGTATGACATTTTCATCATCACCTGAACTTTGATCTGTTCTATTGTCTTCTTCGGCTCTTTCTTTTAATTTACTAAGCACACTAACATTGTCTACATCTTCAGATGTTTTTATGGGTATATTACTTTTTTGATATTTATGTAAGAATCTTATCCTCGGAGGGACAATTAAACCCAAAGACCTTGCATAGGCATCTGTATCTAAAAGTTGTACATTAAATATTTCCTTATTTTTCATTAAGAATACAGACTTTAAATAACTGACAAAAGCTCTCTGTGCTGTTTGTTTAAGTTCAGTATTATCTGAAAGTAAGCCTTCAATTTTTCTTTGAGGCGCTACAACTTTAGATGGGTCAACTGCAATTTTATTAATTGGAATTTTATTTTTTCTTAGATCTTCTACAATTTTTTCTTCATGCGGAAGAAGCATCAACAAACCCTCGCCTTTGCCAAACACACCCCTTGCTGTGCGGCCTGCTCTATGAATATATGTCTCTACATCTTCTGGACAATCCAATTGTATTACCCAATTTACACGAGGAAAATCGAGGCCTCTTGAAGCCAAATCTGTAGCAAAAAGAACTACATTAGATTTTCTACAAAATTCATTGTAGATTTTCTCCCTTTTTTCTTGGTGCAATGTCCCGTACAGAGCCAATAAGCTAATACCAGGTCTTAATTTACAAAATAAGTCATAAGTATACTTGACTTGCTTGCATGTTGCCATGAAGACTAACACTTTTTGTTTTAAATGGTTTCTGATAAAGGACCACAATATTCCAATTTTTTCATCAATTTCACAAACAATATAACTCTGCTGGAGAAACTCAGGAGTAACAGTTTCAGCCTGTTCATGAGGTGCAACATACGTTGGAAAAGATAAACTAAGCCTTGCTAAATCTTTAACAGATTTTGTTTGCGTAGCCGAAAACAATAGTGTTTGCCTTTCAGGTGGCAAATTTTCTATGATTGCATTCATGGTTGCTTCAAAACCCATATCAAGGCATCTGTCAGCCTCGTCTAAAACCAAAATTTGAAGATGACTGCAGTCAAAGAGTGGATTTTCATCCATGTGCTGAAGAAGTCTCCCAGGTGTACAAATAAGAATATTGATTTGATCCATCCTCTTTCTTTCAAATTTGAGATTTTGCCCTCCTATGATTAATCCTGCTGAGAAGTCATGAAGGCAACCAACTTTTCTTAATGTTTCATAAATCTGATATGCCAACTCTCTTGTTGGAGATATGACTAATGCACCAACTCCATCCAGTCGAGTCCACTTTTTACAGAATAAGTTTTCTAAAATTGGGATCAAAAATGCTAATGTTTTTCCTGAACCTGTTTTAGCTGCACCTAATATATCTTTGCCTTGCAGTGCATACCCTATTGCCTGTCGCTGTATTTCTGTGGGAGTTACATAGTTGTTATCTTTCAATCCTTTTAATGTCTTTTGGGACAAAGGGAAATCTTTAAATGTTTTAATGGCATCTGGATTTATCTGTAACAAAATAATAAACAATATTAATGTTAACCCGTTTTACTCTTGTTAACACGATAGAGTAAATTACACTTATCACCATCGATATTGCCAATTTTGGCACACAAACATATAGATGGTGGCGGGGTAGAATTGAGGATAGATCGGGAAACCCTTGCTCGTTTGTGCAGTACTTATAAAGTTCAGAGTAGGTGCAAGGAGGATGATGTTGCTGAGAGGCTACCCTGTGTTACGTCGGTGTCATATTCAAAGATTGTTTTTGATATTCTATTTGGGGGTAATTGTTTACTTTGTTAATTAATAAAGTAAATTGAATGTAGGTAGTTTAATATTCACTTATGACAGTTTGTCTTTTTGTCACGCTATCAAGTTTGATTATATTAACAATATTCAACCTCTGCGTTTTATTCTATATACTAAGCATATTAGTGGCGACAAGTGGTGAATTGTTACAAATGGACATAGAATCAGTAAAATTCCATGAGTACAATCCACAAACAGATAGTTGGAACAATTATCTAGACCACGGAGCAAATACAAAGAGGTGCTGTAATTAGATTTCACTATGTAACAACGCGTGACAATTTGCGGGGTGAGGGGGTGTTAAGCCCCGCCCACTTAACTGTTTTCCATCTACCGACAAATAGTAAAACTACTCGCATCGTCCCGTATCGATATTGCAATGTAGTTTAGCTATCTTGACGACAGATGGCGGCCTGTTCACAAAATGATTATAAAATGTATAAAAATAAAATTTTGTTAATTAAAAATTCTTTGGAACTGAATGCAAACAAATTTCAGCACCTTTGTATAATAATTTTACCAATACTGAGTTTTACATACCTTTATATTTTTAGTTCCCATGACACAAAGTGTCGCCATCTAGTGTCGAATATATTTAATTATATTTGAAAGTCGACGCAAAAATTTTTCTAGAAATACTTTAATAAATTAGGTATAAAATTACTTACTAATGAAATATGATGCCACCCATAGCATCAGAGCGTCTATCTGAGTAGTTTTTACACTATAAAACGCAACCCGTTATCCTTTTCTTCTTAACACTACGAAAATACACCGATTTGCGATTTTCGACACATAAGTTCACAGTGACAGTATACTAACTAAAGCCACGCCCACTGTTCCCATCTCTATATATGGCAGTCGAACCAACGATCATAATAGGAGATCTGAATCTACAGATGCGCGCCCTGAACCAAAGAAGAGACGCAGGCCTAGGCATTGTAATCAGGAAAGCAATAAACGACGGTATCTGCTCGCTAAAAAACGCCGGCGCGCCGTCGAGGCCGGCCAACCAAGGCAACGCAATCCTGGACCTAGCCGTAATAACACACCAACAGATCGAGGCACAAGCCAAGCAGTTAAAAACGTCGAATTAGACCATCTACCATGGCTACGTACTGTAAAAATCGAACACAATACAGGGGAAAACAAATCTCGCAACACAAGGAGGATATGCGAGGACGAGGGGACGAGGGAAGCATACCAATAAACCACGTGGGAAGGCTTCCACAACCTACACGGGGAAATAATCACGGAGGAAGACTGCGAAAGATACGTCGAAACCATGGAGAAATCCATTACAGCAGCCCTCGACGAACACGCACCTTTCAGAACAACAACAAGACGAGAACATCTACCACCGGAAATAAATTAAATGGCAGGCGAGGCACTGCAGCCCCAACCTACAACGAGAGGCACGTGCCCTCTACAACAAAGTCAAAAAAGAAGCAGACCAAGCACTGTGAGAATATACCGAGAAGGGCTGGCTGAATAAGGTCCAGGATCCGAATGACAATAGGTCGCAAATGTGGCGCATCCAACGCAACGGGCTGCAAAACGGAAAAAGAGACGATCGACTCACTGACCGAGGCAGCAATAGTAAAAGAGGCAGTGGTAGCGGCGGAAGACGAGGGCACAGAGAAAACGACCCCGTTCCAGCCACTCGACCCAACATCAAAACACGAAGTCAAATTAGCACTGAGCAGGTTCAAAAACAAAAAGGCCCCAGTCAGATGGAATTAAGGCAGACGCCCTCAAACTCGGGGGAGAAGTCTTCAACGAGGCATTTGTGCCTCTCGCTAACACAAAAACAGTGTGTTGACTGGATGATTTCTGCATTTGGTGATGAAGCCCTATCCAAAATCACAATTTATCGCTGGTTTGCTGAATTTCAACGTAAACATGTCAAGCTCAGTGATGATCCCCGTCAAGGTCGTCCAAAAACTGCAGTCACCCAAGAAAACGTTGATGCTGTGCGTAAGCTGATTGAGGAAGATCGACATGTGACATACCGCGAAATTCAGGCAACTTTAGACATTGGCATGAGTCAAATACAAATAATCTTGCATGAACAATTAGGTGTAAAAAAGTTGTTTTCCCGATGGATACCGCATTCGCTCTGTGAAGAGCAAAAAGCGGCTCGCGTTACTTGGTGCGTCACAACTCTCGAAAGATTCCACACAGGATCCTCAAATGCTGTATACAACATTGTATCAGGTGACTAATCCTGGATATACGCGTACGAACCCGAAACAAAAAACCAGTCACGAGTTTGGGTGTTCGAAAATGAGTTAAAGCCAACAAAAATTGTTCGTTAACGGAGTGTTGCAAAAAAAAATGGTTGCCACGTTTGTCTCCAAAACCGGCCATGTTACGACTATTCCTCTTAAGGGACAAAGAACGGTTAATGCAGAATGGTATGCCAGCATTTGTTTGCTACAGGTCGTTTCTGAACTCCGTAAAGAGAACTGCAACCGCCGCATCATCCTACATCACGACAATGCGAGTTCTCACACCGCACACAGAACAAAAGAGTTTTTAGAGCAAGAAAACTTAGAATTATTAGACCATCCGCCGTACAGCCCCGACTTAAGCCCTAATAATTTCTATACTTTCCCTAAAATAAAAAATAAATTCCGTGGACAGAGATTTTCATCACCTGAAGAAACTGTGGACGCCTACAAAACGGCCATTTTGGAGACCCCAACTTCCGAATGGAATGGTTGCTTCAATGATTGGTTCCATCGTATGGAAAAATGTGGCATATTTCGCGGAGAATACTTCGAAAAGCAATAAATACATTTTTAAATAGTAATGTTGTGTCACTTCCTTGATTCCCGAAATTTTCAGTGCCGCCCTCGTATCAACTACTGTACGAGATGGGGGCTCAAATTCAACGTAGAGAAAACCGAGTGCATTATGTTCTCAAAGAAAAGTAAATAGCGGTAAAATTAAAACAACAGACGCTACCATACCAAAAACAGATCAAATACCTCGGCGTAGTCTTCGATAGACGCATGAAAATGAATCAACACACCGAAAAGGTAGTGAAGAAACTAAAACGGGTCAGAGGAGCCCTTGGTCCGATAATTGGATACTATGCAAAAACAGATCTAGAAACCAAACTGGTCATAATACAGGCCTGCATTCAGCCACTGCTGGACTACGGAGTAGTCCAACTGCTATCGAGGTACAGCGCGACGAACAGAATACAGAATGGCACTCAAGAGTGCTGCCCAACTACCGAAAAGAATATCCACAGAGGCGCTATGGGAGATGGCTGACATAGAAGCCTGGCACCTACGTGCCGAGGACATAAATCAGAAGATGTTGGACAACATTGCCCAGCTGGAAATAGAAGACCTAGAATCCCCCGGTGACGCCTACCTGGCGCACGGAGAATTCAATCCCCTCAGGACCAATCATAGAAAAGGGGAAATTGTATATGATCCCAAAAAGAAAAATTACAAGCGATGGCCTACCGATAACACGGGAGTCCCGCGTCCTCTTAGGATAAGATAATTAAGGCTAGCAAATAAGTACACAAAAACAAATGAAATACATAATAATTTTATTGTATAAACTTTATTATGAATAAGCAAAACACAGCAAACACAGATCCACCTACACATACACATAAGTTAGCTGACTCACCCTCGCACCGTTCCGTTCACAGGCCATGAGGATGCAAATGTAAATACACAAGTAGGCAAATAAATAATTTCAGATTCTGATTCTGATTGTAAATTGGTCAAAATATAACAATAAGTGTTAGGTAAGTCGGAAAAAATCTGTCATCTGCGAGCTATTTTTGCGTGCGGTGAAAAAACTGTGAGAGTTACACAAATATAATGTATGGTGGAATTGTTTCTCCTAAATAGTTCTACAAAAAAGTCCGCGACAGTATAATATAACTTTTATGTGTAAAAGGCCTATTACATTACACGATTTATCGGGCCCTGTCTATCGTGTGCCCTGCCTACCAGGCAGGGCGCTGCTTATTACACTTACGCTAGAAATCGTTTCTTGCCTCAGTCATTACTCGAACGTGGAAACGTTTGCACGTCTAGCATTATGGTGCCGACTTTATCTAAAAGTCAAAAAATTGCTTTAATGGTATCTTTGGCTGTCGGTACCGTGCAAGGCCAAACTAAAAAAGGGAAGGAAAGGAAAATGTGGGTGAAAAAATATTTGCTCCTAAGATTTATAAATCTGTAGAAGTACTTTAAAGCCTTCGCTTCTTATTTCTTTATTGGAATAGTCCTTGTGCTCTTTCCTCCAAAGATAAGGCATATCTCTGTAGATGTCGATGACTTTGAGAAGGACATCATTTTCTTTAGCGTACGACATAGTTACGAGCAATGATTTACGAGAGTAGATCAAGGCTCCAGAACTTTAAATACGTATTTTTTTACGTGGTAGAGCCATGCTGCAGCTATATTAACAGCATAGTTGTAGCACGAATGGGTTGGGTCGACAGGGGAAGGACCACGCTCTCACAGAATACCAGTGTAAAATAGCAGCTCAATGCTGCTGTGTTTCGTATGGTGAGTGTAGAGAACCGGAGACCCTTTTTACTGGAAAAGAGGTATTCTATCTTAGTCCTCACGGCTGACAACGCATCTGTATTTTAATCCGCAAACGAAGATAGATGTAGATGTCTATGGGCCACAGAAACCACTTACCATCAGGTGAACTGTGTGCTCGTTTGTCACCCCTATTCTATGAAAAAACACAGACGTGCAGACTCTGCGCTTGCGGCCACGCAACTGAGATCCCTGCCACTCTGTCTCTTATTACACTACACGATCCACAGCGCGGCATGAAAGCATGGCGGTCGGAACCACACACCTGACTCCCTTTTTCTTATTACACTACACTGTCCCTGCGGGCAGGGCCCGAGAAATCGTGTAATGTAATAAGCCTTTAAGCCATTATTACCAAAATAGTGAACCATAAATACAATAAAATTTGATACTTTATTTCCAATGCACATTTTGCAGTAACCAATGGATTTTATCAAAATAAATACTTTAATCGCTTCTGATGTTCAAAGTAAATAAACTTTGTCTTTTAAACTACGTAATTTGGTCAAATATTTTAATAGTATCATTACTATCGATATAAAATTGTGCGGTCCGGCGTGCGCAGGGCGGTCGGGCGTACTGCGGGCGAGGTGAAGGAAAACATCGCTCATCGCCGCGTGAGCAAATGTACCTCTTCACGCTTAAACCGCTGAACCGATTTAGATGAAATTTGGTATCGAGATAGTTTAAGTCCCGGGGAAGGAAATAGGATAGCTTCGATCACGGAAATCATCCCTAAAGAGGGTGATAGAATTTACTATGAAAGTGCGATTATTGATGGATCACATATGGTTTAAAGTATAATATCTACGTGGACGAAGTCACGGGCAAAAGCTAGTAATTAATAAAATTAAATCCAAACCCAAGCATACCACTGCAAAACTATAAGTTCATTATGTGTAGATCAAACCAAAAATTAATATTCAAAAACTGAAGGACATTGGAACACCTCAGTCCCCCCCCCCGCGACCATGGTGCTGCAAAGCACCCGAAACGTCGACAATTAAAAAGTTAAATTAAACGCGATAGAATCCGTAAAACTTAAGTTTCATTTAATTGGTGGTTTTGCTGGTGGTTTGAATACTTTGGTGTTATCATGTGATTATGTCCTTCACATTACACAGGAGTGCTAAGATGGTGTCGTGGTTTTCTGCCCTTGGTGGTGGTTCTTCTGGTGCAGGATGGTGTTCTTGAGAGGCTGCCTTGTATTATGTGGGGATGGGTAGTGTTAGTTGGTTTGCATACTTTGGTGTTATCATGTAATTATGTCCTTCACGTTACACAAGTATGTAATGAGGCCATCCACGCCTTTTTCTGTCTCCAGGGCGACGCCACTTAAAAGTAAGGCTTAGAAGTTAATTTGTTCAGAAAATGTAAAGGTTAATATTTCTTTCTGTACTATTCAGCTAAATTTTATATTAATAAGATTAAAAATAAATGAACCAGACCACAGATATTCATAAAAGTAGAAAAATTAAAAGAAAAGTTAAAGAGTAAACCACCAAAACATTGTTTTGTGTATTAATATAATTATTATAATTGTATAGTAATAAGCGAGCAGCTTATAGCTGATATGCCTATATCTATGTTGGTGTTTAATATTAGTCCAGGTCCACACTAAGAATACACTAAATTGGATTGCCTTTACACCATTTGTCCAGTTTGTTTACCTAAATTTGTTTAACTAATCACAGAGGGAGCATCTACCACGTCTTGAGGCAACTTGTTCCATATATTTATGATTCTGCTGTTTAGTGTGTGATGTCCCACATTAGTGTATGAGCGGGTGTGAGCCAATCTCATATAGTTAGGATGTCTAGGTCGGTAGATACTGCTGATGTTAAAAATATGTGGCAGATCTTTGTAATTATATTTATGTGTCAATATTTTGTAGATCTCAATAAGTTCTCCTCTGGTACGGCGAGATTTCAGCGTTGTTAGATTCAATATTTTTAATCTCTCTTGGTATGGCTTTTTTGAAGGCATAATGGAAACTTTGTGGCTTTTCTTTGTACACTCTCCAGCAAATCTACATTCTTAAGAAAAAGGGGTTCCAAATTTGAAATCTGTACTCTATCAGCAGTCAGACGTATGTTTTTTAAACCTTAAGCACTGTATCTGAAGTCAGATGCTAAAATGATTGTCTGATTGCATACAAAATGGTGTTTGCCTTTTTGACAATACTATGGATTTCGTCAGCCCACTTGAGGTTGGATGATATAAAGACACCTAAATCCTTGTGTGAGTTAACTGACTGTACTATTGAATTTCCAATGTTAGACATTGCTCTGGGACTGTATCGACGTAGATGCAAAACTGTGAACTTAGAAGGATTAAGTCTTATAACCCAATTTTGACAATATTACAAACTAACTTCTAAATTAAATAACATTGTATAATAAAAACTTTACCTCAATGTCAACAAGCAACATCTGGTGAGCAGAAAATTATTAGCCCTCATTGTGAATAAGACATATTACTGTATGGTCGAACTGTAATTGCTCTATACTGAATGTATAGTGCGATACGCTTTTACCATTTTTAACAATTGACGCTATCCATCAGGATCTCCTGTTGTATTTCCCACAGAATTGGCCTTATCCTGTTACATCACCATAAACTTACTGTTGTATTATCTACATATTCATATTTTTTTATAGACATGACCCATAGACATCTACATCTATCCTCTTTTCCAAATCAAAATGCAGAAGCACTATCAGCCGTGAAGACTTTTGAAGTAAAAAGGATCTCTGGTTCTCTACACTCACCATACAACACACAACAGCATTAAGCTGCTATTTTATGCTGGTATTCTGAGAGTGCGTGGGACCTTCCCCAGTCGAGCCGACCCATTCGTTCTACAACTATACAATTAATATAGCTCCAGCATGGCCCTACCACATTGAAATATAATAAATATAATATGACTAGCTGTGCCCCGCGGTTTCACCCGCGTCTACACGTGTCCGAGGTGCGCGACATGGCCTAGTTCAAGCATTTTATAACGGCTAGGGTTTAAGCGTCATTCACCCGCCCAGCCAAGTATTGAATTATTTTAATTTTACTTTATCTCTTAAACTATGCGTCCAAATAACATGGTATAAAGAACAAAGTTTATCTTCATAAAATTGTCTTGATGATGAAATAACTTTCGTTCGTAAGGATAAATAGGCCATGACTAATAATAACGCTCATAAATTATTTTTAAATTTTTAATATTTTTGTCACAAAATACCAAATTATGGCTTATGTATAAGAAATAGACATATGGTATCGCGGACTTTTTTTTAGACGGAGTAAAGGTCTATATTTTTCTAGAACATTGTATTTACGTATCCCTAACGATAACACCAGCGTACGCGGATAAATCATTTCGAGAGTGCTTTTTCTTCTGACTTGCTTAACAAATATCCATGTTTAAGGCTAGCTGAGTAATATAGCTTAATGCTAGATAGCCTATACTATTCCACATGAATCTGGCTATAATAAAAAAAAAGAAATTTTCAAATCGGACTGGTAGTTCCAGAAATTAGCGTGTTTAAACAAACAAAAAAACAAAAAAGCTCTTCCGCTTTATTATATTATTAGTATAGATTGTAAGCATCATTTTTCCAAGTGGTCCTTCCCTGGTCGAGGCGACCCATTTGTGCTACATTAAAATATAATAATAAATATAATATGATTGTAAGCATCATTTTTCAAAAAAAAAAAGTCCTGCTGAGGTACTAGCTGGTTCTCCCAGGACAGATATTTACCAAAGCAGTCATGAATTAACCATCATATTATTTATAAAACATTTATAATTAAAGCTTTCAAAGTCCACTGATAAAGACAAGGCTCTGTATAGATTGCCTCATGCTCTACTCTGCACACAATGCTGATATTCTGCAGCGTGACTCTATCATATACAAAATTGCCTTGGAAATTAAATTATCAAGGCCCGCTTGCAGTATGATGCGTGGATATGAAAATGTTAAATCTCTCCCTATAATTATCGTCAGTGTGCATCACATGGTCAGTATTCTCACTTAAGTTCCTATTTGAATTAAATAGTTATTAGTCTCTAGTAAGTTAAGTATAACTATAAAAATATTTGTAAAACTTAAAAATAATGCATCATCAATTTACAAATAGTTTAAATGTTTCGTTGATAAGAAAATATAAATAAATGACAAATAGCACATACCTTTAATCATTAGTAAAATTGTCATATTTTCAATAAATTATTATTATAACAATATATAAAATCATCACCTTATCATATTGTGCTTGCAAGTACTGTATAGCTGCATCTTCTTCTCCGCTTTTTTTCTTACGAGGTTTATACAATTTAAACTTATCTTTTTTTGACTTTTTTTGCTGGACTTTTTCATCTTGATTATTTTGTTTCATCCTTGATAATCAAACAGTATTTAAACCACTACCTTTATTTCCCAATATTTATTTTAAAACTACTGTATGGCTCAAGTATTATAGATTATAGTAGTAAGCACATGTGTATGACATATCGTGACATTGACAATTGACAGCTGACATTGACAGATTAAATATGTAGTTGACAAAAAAATGATGTAAATGATGGGCTAAGTCGACATCGATATATATGTACTACGCACTAGATTTCGCATACCGAACACTCAACAGAACGAAGAAACAGAAAGCAAGGCTCATGGACTTATGATTTACTTTTACTCTAAATAAGTATATTTGGAAATAAATTGTAATAATAATGATCTTCGATAATAAATGTATGTTTTTATATTTTACATAGTTATCTTTGAATATATTTAAAAATATCATTAAAATTAAATTGTAATATGTAATGTTAAGTAATATTATATTAAATTAGCACATATGCAAAATAAACGACAAATAAAAAAAATTGTACTCGATATAATTAACAATCAAATCTAAATAAACAACTATTACATACTGATCGTTCTACCTACGTATAATCCACGATGATAAAGATTAAGCAGGCACAACGTGTATATCAACTGGGCATGCGTGAATACATAGATTAGCGCTTGTTCGGAATAGCTTCTCTAGTCATCATCATCATCATTACAGCCCTTCACAAGTCCACTGCTGAACATAGGCCTCCCCCAAAGAATGCCACAAAACACGGTCCTGAGCCACCTGCATCCATCGACTTCCTGCATGTCTTACCAGGTCGTCACTCCATCTCGTGGGGGGACGCCCTACACTTCGCCTACCGGTACGAGGCTGCCACTCGAGAACCTTTCTTCCCCATCGGTTGTCGGTTCTTCGAGCTATATGGCCGGCCCACTGCCACTTCAGCTTACTAATCCGTTGGGCTATGTCGGTCACTCTGGTTCTACTGCGGATATCCTCATTCCTAAGTTTATCACGCAGAGAAACTCCGAGCATAGCCCTCTCCATAGCTCGCTGAGCGACCTTGAGCTTCCTCATACGGCCAGCAGTGAAGGACCACGTCTCAGTTCCGTAAGTCATCACTGGCAACACGCACTGGTTGTACAATTTCGTTTTAAGGTTTTGAGGTATGTCTGACGAGAAGATGTGTCGTAGCTTCCCGAACGCTGCCCAGCCGAGTTGAATCCGTCGATTGACCTCTCGGTCGAAGTTGGACTTACCCAGTCGGACTATTTGTCCCAGGTAAACATACTCGTCAACAACTTCGAGCTTAGTGTTCCCAACAACTATCGGCATAGGTGTGACATGGACATTAAACATGATCTTAGTTTTGTCCATGTTCATCTTAAGACCTATCCGTTGGGAAACACTATTGAGGTCATTGAGCATAGTGCTTAGGTCCTCCAGCGATTCTGCCATAAGGACTATATCGTCGGCAAATCGAAGGTGAGTGATGTACTCGCCATTGATGTTGATACCGTATCCTTTCCAGTCCAGAAACTTGAAAACGTCTTCCAATGCAGCGGTGAAGAGTTTCGGGGATATGACGTCACCCTGTCTTACACCTCTCTGCAATTGGATAGGTTTCGTACTCTGGTTCTGTACTCGGATAGCCATCGTAGCCCTACTGTACAAGCACTTCAACACTTCGATATACCGACAGTCAACTTGGCACCGCTGAAGGGACTGCAGCACCGCCCAAATTTCGACGGAATCAAAGGCTTTCTCATAGTCCACATACGCCAGACATAGTGGCAAATTGTACTCTGCGGACTTCTGTACAACTTGCCGAAGGGTATGTATGTGGTCTATGGTGCTAAAGCCTTTTCGGAAACCGGCTTGTTCGGGAGGCTGGAAGTCGTCAAGTCTGCGCGCGAGACGATTCGTAATGACTCTCGAAAACAGCACGTAGACGCGGCTCAGAAGGGAAATCGGTCTGTAGTTCTTCAAGAGAGCGTTGTCACCTTTCTTGAAGAACAAGACCACCGCACTTCTGCTCCACGCCTCCGGTGTAATGCCACCATGGAGGACGGAATTAAAGAGCTTCTGAAGGACTTCAAGTACCGGTCTTCCACCCGCTTTCAGAAGCTCCGCTGTAATTCCATCCTCGCCTGGGGCCTTACCGTTTTTAAGGTGCTGGAGAGCCATCCTAATCTCGCTCAGACTGACATCCGGGATATCTTCGGAATAGTGTCGGATGAGACTCGCTCTTGGATCGTTACTCACACTTGCGTGTGGCTCCAACGATGATGTGTACAGCTGCCCATAGAACCTCTCAATCTCACTCAAAATCTCAGGTGTCCCGGAAACGATGCTGCCACATTCTGTCTTCAGCTTTGACAGTTGGCTCTTTCTGGCAGACAGATCTCTGGCAAAGACTTTGGAGCCTTGGTTCCGCTCGATCGCTTCTTCAATACGAGCTGTATTGAAGTTGCGTAAGTCCCGCCGCATGCATTTGAAGATCTGTCTGTTCAGATGCCTGTATGCTGTCAAGTCTGTTGAAGAATGTAGCTTCATCTCCCGTCTAACAGCCATGAGATTAAGAGTGTGATCGGAGAGTTTTTGTGTTCTTCTGCGGCGGGTCTTGCAGAACTTAGCTCCAACCGCATGGACAGTTTCCACGAGCTTGTCATTCATATCGTCCACTTCATTGCAGTCTTCTAGGCACTGAAAACGGTTTTGTAACTCGAGCTGAAAGGTTTCGGGACTTTGAAACAGAGCACGAGGGGGACGGAGCGTTGACTTCATTAGACGAGACCTCTCCAACTTAACGTTTAGGTTCAGTGTGCCTCTAACCATTCGGTGATCGCTACCAGTTTTCACCCTCGCGATCACGGAGACATCACTGAACAGTTGTCGTCTGGTCGTCATAATGAAGTCAATCTCATTTTTTGTGGAACCGTCGGGGCTCGACCAGGTCCACTTCCTGTGGGGCCGCTTCTGGAAGAAAGAGTTCATCATAAAGAGTCCCTCTTTCTCCATGAAGTCGGCCAGCTGCTGGCCCCTTGGGTTCCGTTGCCCTATTCCAAATTTCCGTACTTTCAGCTCACCGTTCTCTCTTGTGCCTAGTTTTGCATTGAAGTCTCCCATTAACACCGTATATTGGGTTTTGGAGGAATGCATGGCTCTAGAGATATCCTCATACATTTCCTCCACCTCCTCATCGGGGTGTGCCGAGGTTGGTGCGTAAACCTGTATGACCTTCAGCGAATACCGTTTGGTGATTCTGAGTATAAGGTACGCAACCCTCGTCGACACACTCCCGATTTTTACAACGTTGTTAATGAGAGACTTGTGGACGATAAATCCGACACCTCCTTGGGACAGATGGTCGCCCTCCCGGTGATAGAGCAAGTTGCCGGATTCGAGGATTACCGTGTCCTCCCCCTCTCTTCGGACTTCAGATAATCCTATAATATGCCAGCGCAACTTGTCTATCTCTTCTTCCAGCTCCACGATCTTCTCGTCAGTCCTCAGGGTGCGTGCGTTGTACGTTGCCAGGTCGAGTCGTCTAAGGTGGCAACCGAACCTCCACCGGAGATTCTTAGCACCCCCTGCCCCGCCGTTACCATGGTCGCCACCGTAGCCAGGAATAGCGGGGCCGCCGGGGACTGGGGGCCGTCTCTTTGTTACTCTCTTCATAGGGGGGTATTTGCCATAGTTGCCACGCTTGGCGAGCGGGTTGGCAACCGCAGTTTTTTTATTGTCATTTGGCTATTATCAGGAAGATGCTGCTGCCCATCTCCTGGCTGTTTCCCTTTGTCGCCTTTTACGACACCCACGGGAGGATATGGGGTAGTGGATATTCTTGACCGCCACTACACGGCAGGCAGGCACACAATACAAGGCAGGCTTCTCTAGTACATAGTACATAAAACTTAATGTAAGTCTAAATCGATAGATTGATGCATAATCCCTTACTGTTATGGAAATGAACATATTATATATTTATTTCCGTATTACATATTATATTATCATATTATTATCAAATAACAAAGAAACTAATACCATTGAGTCACGAGAGCAGACTGTGAATGGCTGCTATTAGCTTTTGAGCGCGAATAGAACCAGACTTCTCATCCCCAGCAGCGACGATAAGTTGCGAAGTACAGTTCTTTTAGAAGCTTTTTTATGTAAGAGTCAATTATTATCCAAATTTACTTACAAAATTTAGAATAAAAATTTAATTTAAATTCCTTTTTTTATGCTCCTAAATACCAACTTCAGATTTAGAGATAGAAAAACTGATAAGTAAGAAGAGATCAGTAATTACTGGGCTATCAATTTTGCATACCACATAATTACATTTAATGTTATTTCAATAAAAACATTTAATATCGTTGAAGTATAGTGTACTTACGTTCGTAGTACATATTACTTCAATATAAAACACTAGTATATCACACTTAACTTGCAACCATAATCATTTTTATGTAATTATTTCTATTACTACTTATTCTATAAAAATGTTAAGTTTGAATGATTCTTTACAGATCACAGGCATACTCATTGTAATTAATAAAATATTTTTTTCGTCTTTAAAGTTAAAGAACTTTCTTTTTTATTCTGTGGAGTCCCAGTCCATCACATCAGATTACCACGTACCACATTTGTATACCACTTGGAACAATTCTTTTTTAAACGTTGTTTATAACATTTATACAACTAAAACCCTAAAAAATTTATTAGAATTACTCTCCTTACTAAATTAAGCTTCTATAAATTAAGAAAGTTTTCTTCAAATGACGACCTTCCGCCGTTACCCGTCGCGTTTACTTCAGTCCAGGTCCAGAGAATAACGTCAGCTTCACAGATCGATCTAGTATTTGACAATTCGTGTAGATGGCGATGTTACAGAATTATTTCATTTGTGAAATTTGTTTATAGTATAATATTAAGCTTTTTAAAATGGCAACACTTAAACAAAAAAATGTATGACGTGTTTTTGTTGATGATAATTGTAAGTGTTGTTTTAAGTAAGTTTATTTGGAGATCAA